GTGTTAGCTACCAGTGTATAGTACCTACAGAGGTGTTATCTACCAGTGTATAGTAGATACACGGGTGTTATCTACCAGTGTATAGTAGATACACGGGTGTTATCTAGAAGTGTATAGTAGATACACGGGTGTTATCTACAAATGTATAGTAGACACACGGGTGTTATCTAGAAGTGTATAGTAGATACACGGGTGTTATCTACCAGTGTATAGTAGATACACGGGTATTATCTACAGTGTATAGTAGACAAACGGGTGTTATCTACAGTGTATAATAGCTACACTGGTGTTATCTACAGTGTATAGTAGATACATGGGTGTTATCTACCAGTGTATAGTAGCTACACGGGTGTTATCTACAGTGTATAGTAGATACACGGGTGTTATCTACCAGTGTATAATAGCTATATGGGTGTTATCTACAGTGTATAGTAGAAACACGGGTGTTATCTACAGTGTATAGTAGCTACACGGGTATTATCTACCAGTGTATAGTAGATACAAGAGTGTTATCTACCAGTGTATAGTAGATACACGGGTGTTATCTACCAGTGTATAGTAGATACACGGGTGTTATCTACAGTGTATAGTAGATACATGGGTGTTATCTACCAGTGTATAATAGCTATATGGGTGTTATCTACCAGTGTATAGTAGAAACACGGGTGTTATCTACAGTGTATAGTAGCTACACGGGTATTATCTACCAGTGTATAGTAGATACAAGAGTGTTATCTACCAGTGTATAGTAGAAACACGGGTGTTATCTACCAGTGTATAGTAGTAACAGGGATGTTATCTAGAGGGTATAGTAGCTATACCACGTGTATAGCAGCTACATGTGTTTTACCAACCACGTGTAAAGTAGCTACAAGGGAGTTATCTAAACCGTGTACAGTCACAGAGATGATCGCAACTACGCGTACGGTTACAGAGATGCTCTCCCCTACGTGTACACATACAGGGATGCTGTCTACCACGTATACAGCTAAAGGGGTGATCTCTACCACGTATACAGCTACAGGGATGATCTCTAGCACGTGTACAGATACGTGGATGCTCTCTACCACGTATACAGCTCCATGGATGTTCTCTAACACGTGTACAGCTACAGGGATGTTCTCTACCACGTGTACAACTACATGGATGTTCTCTACCACGTATACAGCTAAAGGGATGATCTCTACCACGTGTACAGCTACATGGATGTTTTCTACAACGTATACAGCTACTGGGATGTTCTCTACCACGTATACAGCTACAGGGATGTTCTCAACCACGTATACAGCTACAGGGATGATCTCAACCACGTGTACAGCTACAGGGATGTTCTCTACCACGTATACATCTACAGGGATGTTCTCTACCACGTGTACAGCTACAGGGATGATCTCTACCACGTATACAGTTACATGGATGTTCTCTACCACGTATACAGCTACATGGATGTTCTCTACCACGTGTACAGCAACATGAATGTTCTCTAGCACGTATACATCTACAGGGATGCTCTCTACCACGTGTACAGCTACAGGGATGCTCTCTACCACGTATAGAGCTACAGGGATGATCTCTACCACGTGTACAGCTACATGGATGTTCTCTACCACGTGTACAGCTACATGGATGTTCTCTACCACGTATACAGCTACAGGGATGATTTCTACCACGTGTACAGCTACTGGAGTGCTCTCTACCACGTGTACACATACAGGGATGCTCTGCACTACGTATACAGCTACAGGGATGATCTCTACCACGTGTACAGCTATAGGGATGCTCTCCAGCACGTGTACAGATACATGGATGATCTCTTCCACGTGTACACATACAGGGATGCTCTCTACCACGTATACAGATACAGGGATAGTGTCTACCACGTGTACAGATACAGGGATGCTCTCTACCACGTGTACAGATACCGGGATGCTCTCTACCACGCATTCACATAAAGGGATGCTCTCTACCACGTGTACAGCTACAGGTATGATCTCTAGCACGTGTACAGCTACAGTTATGATCTCTACCACGTGTACAGCTACAGGGATGATCTCTAACACGTATACAGCTACAGGGATGATCTCTACCACGTGTATAGCTACAGGGATGTTCTCTACCACGTGTACAGCTACAGGGATGTTCTCTACCACGCGTACAGCTGCATGGATGTTCTCTACCACGTATACAGCTACAGGGATGCTCTCTACCACGTGTACAGCTACTGGGATGTTCTCTACCACGTATACAGCTACAGGGATGATCTCTACCACGTATACAGCTACATGGATGCTCTCTACCACGTATACAGCTACAGGGATGCTCTCTACCACGTGTAGAGCTACAGGGATGCTCTCTACTACGTATACAGCTACAGGGATGATCTCAACCACGTGTACAGCTACAGGGATGTTCTCTACCACGTATACATCTACAGGGATGTTCTCTACCACGTGTACAGCTACAGGGATGATCTCTACCACGTGTACAGCAACATGGATGTTCTCTAGCACGTATACATCTACAGGGATGATCTCTACCACGTGTACAGCTACTGGAATGCTCTCTACCACGTGTACACATACAGGGATGCTCTGCACTACGTATACAGCTACAGGGATGATCTCTACCACGTGTACAGCTATAGGGATGCTCTCCAGCACGTGTACAGATACATGGATGATCTCTTCCACGTGTAAACATACAGGGATGCTCTCTACCACGTATACAGATACAGGGATGTTCTCTACCACGCGTACAGCTACATGGATGTTCTCTACCACGTATACAGCTACAGGGATGCTCTCTACCACGTGTACAGCTACAGGGATGTTCTCAACCACGTATACAGCTACAGGGATGATCTCTACCACGTATACAGCTACATGGATGCTCTCTACCACGTATACAGCTACAGGGATGCTCTCTACCACGTGTAGAGCTACAGGGATGCTCTCTACTACGTATACAGCTACAGGGATGCTCTCTACCACGTGTACAGCTACAGGGATGCGTTCTAGCACGTGTGCAGATACATGGATGGTCTCTACGACGTGTTCAGATACAGGGATGATCTCTACCACGTATACAGCTACAGGCATGATCTCTACCACTTGTACACGTACAGGGATGCTCTCTACCACGTGTACAGCTACAGTTATGATCTCTACCACGTGTACAGCTACAGGGATGATCTCTAACACGTATACAGCTACAGGGATGATCTCTACCACGTGTATAGCTACAGGGATGTTCTCTACCACGTGTACAGCTACAGGGATTTTCTCTACCACGTGTACAGCTACTGGGATGTTCTCTACCACGTATACATCTACAGGGATGTTCTCTACCACGTATACAGCTACAGGGATGTTCTCTACCACGTGTACATCTACAGGGATGTTCTCTACCACGTATACAGCTACTGGGATGTTCTCTACCACGTATACAGCTACAGGGATGATCTCTACCACGTGTACAGCTACAGGGATGTTCTCTACCACGTGTACAGCTACATGGATGATCTCTACCACGTGTACAGCTACAGGGATGATCTCTACCACGTATACAGCTACAGGGATGATCTCTACCACGTATACAGCTACAGGGATGTTCTCTACCACGTGTACAGCTACAGGGATGTTATCTACCACGTATACATCTACAGGGATGCTCTCTACCACGTGTTCAGCTACAGGGATGATCTCTACCACGTGTACAGCTACAGGGATGTTCTCTAACACGTATACAGCTACAGGGATGATCTCTACCACGTGTACAGCTACATGGATGATCCCTACCACGTATACAGCTACAGGGATGATCTCAACCACGTATACAGCTACAGGGATGTTCTCTACCACGTGTACAGCTACAGGGATGTTCTCTACCACGTGTACAGCTACATGGATGTTCTCTACCAGGTATACAGCTACACGGATGTTCTCTACCACGTATACAGCTACAGGGATGATCTCTACCACGTGTACAGCTACAGGGATGTTCTCTACCACGTGTACAGCTACATGGATGTTCTCTACCACGTATACAGCTACAGGGATGATCTCTACCACGTGTACAGCTACTGGAATGCTCTCTACCACGTGTACACATACAGGGATGCTCTGCACCACGTATACAGCTACTGGGATGATCTCTACCATGTATACAGCTACATGGATGTTCTCTACCACGTCTTCACATACAGGGATGATCTCTACCACGTGTACAGCTACTGGGATGCTCTCTAGCACGTGTATAGCTACAGGGATGCTCTCTACCACGTATACAGCTATATGGATGCTCTCTACGACGTATACAGCTACAGGGATGTTCTCTACCACGTATACAGCTACAGGGATGCTCTCTACTACGTATACAGCTACAGGGATGCTCTCTACCACGTGTACAGTTACAGGGATGCTCTCTAGCACGTGTACAGATACATGGATGTTCTCTACCACGTGTTCAGGTACAGGGATGATCTCTACCACGTATACAGCTACAGGCATGATCTCTACCACTTGTACACATACAGGGATGCTCTCTACCACGTGTACAGCTACAGGGATGATCTCTACCACGTGTACAGCTACAGGGATGCTCTCCAGCACGTGTACAGATACATGGATGATCTCTTCCACGTGTTCACATACAGGGATGCTCTCTACCACGTATACAGATACAGGGATAGTGTCTACCACGTGTACAGATACAGGGATGCTCTCTACCACGTGTACAGATACCGGGATGCTCTCTACCACGCATTCACATAAAGGGATGCTCTCTACCACGTGTACAGCTACAGGGATGCTCTCTACCACGTGTACACATACAGGGATGCTCTCTACCACGTATACAGCTACAAGGATGGTCTCTACCTCGTGTATAGCTACAAGGATGCTCTCTACCACGTATACAGATACAGGGATGCTCTCTAGAACGTGTACAGATACAGGGATGCTCTCTAACACGTGTACAGATACAGGGATGATGTAACATACTGCGGGAGAGTTCTCCACCACGGCTGCCCTGTAGACGTCAAACAGGAAGAAGGGCGGCGTGTCCTGTACGTCCTGTACAAGGACCTCCAGTGTTGTAGTGTCGTTCAGCCCATCCTGGTCCTGTAACATGGATGTCATCAGGAACACTACCTTCTTACTACATTCATACACCTCGTGTCCTGGTCCTACAACATGGATGTCATCAGGAACACTACCTTCTTACTACATTCATACACCTCGTGTCCTGGTTCTACAACATGGATGTCATCAGGAACACTACCTTCTTACTACATTCATACACCTCGTGTCCTGGTCCTACAACATGGATGTCATCAGGAACACTACCTTCTTACTACATTCATACACCTCGTGTCCTGGTCCTACAACATGGATGTCATCAGGAACACTACCTTCTTACTACATTCATACACCCTCGTGTCCTGGTTCTACAACAAGGATGTCATCAGGAACACTACCTTCTTACTACATTCATACACCTCGTGTCCTGGTTCTACAACATGGATGTCATCAGGAACACTACCTTCTTTACTACATTCATACACCTCGTGTTCCTGGTCCTACAACATGGATGTCATCAGGAACACTACCTTCTTAGTACATTCATACACCTCGTGTCCTGGTCCTACAACATGGATGTCATCAGGAACACTACCTTCTTACTACATTCATACACTCGTGTCCTGGTCCTACAACATGGATGTCATCAGGAACACAACCTTCTTACTACATTCATACACCTCGTGTCCTGGTCCTACAACATGGATGTCATCAGGAACACTACCTTCTTACTACATTCATACACCTCGTGTCCTGGTCCTACAACATGGATGTCATCAGGAACACTACCTTCTTACTACATTCATACACCTCGTGTCCTGGTCCTACAACATGGATGTCATCAGGAACACTTCCTTCTTACTATATTCATACACCTCGTGTCCTGGTCCTACAACATGGATGTCATCACGAACACTACCTTCTTACTACATTCATACACCTCGTGTCCTGGTCCTACAACATGGATGTCATCACGAACACTACCTTCTTACTACATTCAAACATCTCGTGTCCTGATCCTACAACATGGATGTCATCAGGAACACTACCTTCTTACTACATTCAAACATCTCGTTAACTCTATTCACTGAACGACATGAGTGGAATATGTATTTATGAAATGATCTACACTGATATAATACTGTAAGGTGATGTGTGTGGGGTGACTTGATGGTGAGGTGAGGTGTTTGGGTGGTGTGTGTGAAATAAGAAGAAGTGACCAATTTTTGTTGTATCTCCTAAATGCCAGCCGCTAGGCAGAGCAGCAATTATCATGCGTCTTTAAACGGCCGGCCAGTGGTTGAGACGTTGTATTTCTGTGTTCCAGGAAGGTCATCAATTAGATTCTAGGCTTGTGTAGACTACGATTACCACATCGATTAAACCGATGCATGTTTGTAGCCCCTGGAGACCTGTTTACGTTCAATTGCTCTAAATTTACAATCCACTTGTCTTGAACTACGAATTACCGAGTATTAGCGATTGTTCAAGATAATCGGTAAGTAGTGCGCGTGCTGCCTGGGTGCATGCCTGCGTGCGTGGCTGCGTGCGTGCGTGCGCGTGTGTGTGTTGTGTGTTGTGTGTTGTGTGTGTACACAGAGTAAAGAGAACCGGGACTTCGAGGGGATTCTGACTGCAACCTACCGAGGCAGCTATGGTTACGGTGTAGGCGTTCCTCTTCTCATAGTCCAGACTTTGCACCAGGAAGATGTCGGCAGTGAACTCGCCAGTTTTGTTGACACCAAATATGCCATCAGTAACACTATCTGGGACCTGCAAATGTTGGCAATACTACAGTAACTTCTATAAGAGCCAAATTTGTAACATGTACAAATGAGACATGAGAAACCTTTGACGCCTCTCAAATTTCATCTTCTACGATTTAGTTTATAATATTTCCATTCTGTTTAGATAATTACCCTGGACCCATTAGTTAGTCTAATTTCGTTGTGACGTCACACCCTCTGTGACAGTTATACACTTGTAAATAATGGCGCATGCGTTAAATCTTAAAACAACATTGTCGTGATTATAAAGGAGTGTCAGTTGGAAGAGCTTTCTGTATTGAGCAGATGGAAGCTTAGAACTACAGATTGGAGTAACTTGCGGACACTTGTTGGACACTGACTAGCGATAACAGGTGGGAATCACGAATCAAAACCGCCCTGCCCTCCCGGCGTGGATGCCTCGATCCACTGTAAGTATGTACCAACACTCCAGGGTATGTGTGGGGACAGCTAGAGGTGTTGGAGGGATCTATATACATCAAACAGTAGTTGTAATGTGACAGTACCAGTGTGAAGTCTACTGTTGGGCCCATGTCGGGGTCGGGGGCGCTGACACCCGAGAAGATCACCTCGCCAACGTCCACGTTCTGGAAGTAGAGCGGTCAGTCAGTAGAGGCAGCTCGCATTACCATGTGTCATAGAAAACATGGCAGCTAGTAAATGCGTTATGGTATAAACATGCTGAGAGATATATGTCGAGGTTGTTGTCAACCATAACGTCAACTCAAATGCAAACGGTAATCTCCCTGACACTGGCAGGTTGGTTGTAGATTTCCCACTTCAGACACTAAAAATGTTATTACTGTTGGAAAAATGAAAACGTTGCAAGAGGGGCGGTGGGGTAGCCTAGTGTTTAAAGCGTTCGCTCGTCACGCAGAAGGCCCGGGTTCGATTCCGTCACATGGGTACAATGAATGTTATGTAATTGGTATCTTAACTAAACTCTTTAACAAGATTTTTCTATCAGGAACATTTCCGGCTGAATGGGGAAAGAGCATCATATGTCCAATGTTCAAATCCGGCAGCAAAGACGATCCTGGGAACTACAGAGGTATTTCCTTTATAAACACTGTTTGTAAAGTTTTTACATCAGTAATAAATACAAGACTTCAAACCTGGTGTGATGAAAAACAGGTTATTGATGAAACCCAGGCTGGGTTCAGACCCGGCTACTCGACCGTAGATAATATCTTTACGCTGCATGCAATGGCACAGAAGTACCTTAGAAGTAACTTTAGTAAAGCGTTCGATTGTATCAACCATGATATTCTACTGGAGAAGTTGAGAAGTGTTGGACTTCAAGGGAATTTTCATTACAACAGAAATACCAGATATATATGCTCTGCTCTTTGCCGACGATGTGTCATCTGTTGCCGACTCGACTGTACAATCACAACGAAAGATTACTGTTTTAGAAGAATTCTGTGACAAAACTGGGATGAAAATTAATTTGAATAAAACCAATATAATAGTTTTTAGAAACGGCGGACCCCTTCGATATTACGAGAAATGGCATTTTAAAGGCGAACAAATTGGAACGGTGAACCAGTACAGATATCTAGGAATTGTGTTTTCGCCGAAGCCGTCTTGGAGTAAGGCTCAAACTAGCATTGCTGCACAAGCACGAAAGGCTATTTTGGCTACATACCAATATCAAAGGAAGTTCGGTGATTTGCCTACAGTGATATGTTTAAGCTGTATGAGAGTATGGTGGTTCCAATATTGTGTTATGGTGCTGAGATGTGGGGAACGTCATTCAGTAAAATCACAGAAACCGTTCACACTTCATTCTGTAAGCGTTTTCTGGGTCTATCCAAGGCAACCCCCGCGAATATGGTACTCGGAGAGTGTGGGAAAATCCATCTCTAGAGTGTGTATATGACCAGAGACATCGTTTACTGGTGACATGCCATTCATCTTCATCCATCAAGACTACCACACCAAGCTTGCCTAATACTTAAATCAGCCTCAGATGCAGGGAGAAAAACTTGGGCTACAGACATAAAATCAATTCTATACAAACTTGGCTTCGGAATAGTCTGGATTCAGCAGGAAATACTGACATCTTAAACAACGATTAAACGATACTTTAACTCAAGACTGGCACTCCTCCTTGTATTCAAGCAATAAGTGTTCAACCTACCGATGTGTCAAATCTATGCTAAACGTTGAAGCATATCTGACACTTGACCTGCCCCTTCCACTACGCAGAATATTAGGTAAATTCCGATGTTCCAACTTTAAAATAGAAATCGAACTAGTAGGCCGACATAACAATATTCCGTGGGAAGAAGGATTATGCAAGAGATGCAAGAAAAATAACATTCATATCATCGAAGACGAGCTCCATGTGCTATTAAAGTGCCCATCCTACAGTGAAGTAAGGTAGACACATCTAAAACCATTCTATTTACAACATCCAACTATGAACATACTGAAAGCTCTACTATAATCAACAGGAGAAGCTTCTTTGCAGAATTTGTGTTATTTTCTTCCAAAAAATCAGAATTAAAGCATGCTGTATATCTGTTTCGTGTGTATAAATGTATATTTGGCCAATGGCCTTATACTGAAATAAATCTGTCTGCCTGTCTGTCTGTCTGTCTGACATGGGTACAATATGTGATGCCCATGTCTGACGTTCCCCCTCCGTGATGCTGCTGGAATATTACTAAAAGCGGCGTAAAAATCCAACTCACTCACGTTGTAAGAATGAACCTCAAACCCATGTATTTTATACCAAAATAAGCATGAAAACTCTCAACGGATAAATCACTTATCGCCTCATGTTGAAACATTTGATGTGAAAAGATTCTTGTGAGATTCTCCACGTAACAGAATGTGATTATAGTAACACGGGACTGCATATTACCTAGATGTGATTATAGTAACACGGGACTGCATATTACCTGTGATTATAGTAACACGGGACTGCATATTACCTAGATGTGATTATAGTAACACGGGACTGCATATTACCTAGATGTGATTATAGTAACACGGGACTGCATATTACCTAGATGTGATTATAGTAACACGGGACTGCATATTACCTAGATGTGATTATAGTAACACGGGACTGCATATTACCTAGATGTGATTATAGTAACACGGGACTGCATATTACCTAGATGTGATTATAGTAACACGGGACTGCATATTACCTAGATGTGATTATAGTAACACGGGACTGCATATTACCTAGATGTGATTATAGTAACACGGGACTGCATATTACCTAGATGTGATTATGGTAACACGGGACTGCATATTACCTAGATGTAATTATAGTAACACGGGACTGCATATTACCTAGATGTTATTAGACACTGACCTCAAGGGGTTCACATCTGTACGGCTTGTTGACGAAACTTGGCGGGTTATCGTTGACGTCAGTGATGCGTAACAGGGTAGATATTGTTACCTGAAATACCCCCACAACAGTGAGTACCAGCACAACACTCAGTGTGGGGACACATCGTTCTAGCTGTAACGGTGAATGACGTTATAATGAGCGCTTTCGACGGAAAATGTTATCATCATTTGCGGCAATGCCAATGAATATTACTGATGAAATACACCCTTAGTGATGATAAACATATCGCCAAACACGTATTATTTCCTATCAACGTGTTGCAGTCACGACAGAAGGGTTAATAGTCAAACGTTACCGCATCAAAGCCAGGGCTGTCTGCGCTGAAGAAAATCCTCCGTTCATATGGTTCCTGAAAACAGACACATGTTTGTTGTTCATGTACAAGCAGTTCTGATGTATGTCCAGCGCTATTTTATCTCTCTCTCTCATGCACATTTAAATATTGATCTATTTAGTCACTTAGCAGTGTGGGGTTTATTGGAGTTTATTTCATCTGGAACACCTCTTCGTATGCTTTGTTCACACAGAAGGCTTTCATCATGAAGACTCACGAAATCTCTGTCGAGTTCTGATGCGAGGGTGGCCTTAGCGTAGTAGGTGACGTTGTCACTTGAAACGGTTTCCGAAACGTTGACCAACATCGCAGTGTCGTCGCTAGCGGTCAGTATGGTGATGTCGTTACCCTCGGCTGTCAGATTCAGCAGCAGTGTACCTGGAAGTGCACGTGTCACGCTGTGTTCATAGTTCCATAGCTGTGTCAGAAAGGCTGAATGTTTCCAGAATGATCACGGGAAAGTGAGTTTGGGCATTACAGTATTCCACCAATAGACTCTGGTACCATTTCATTAATATGGGGTGCAGCTTGTACGGTATGATATATGTACACTGTACGCAGGTTACAAGGATCACGTTTGTAATGGCGTAATCTGTTTAAGTGTGGCTAACCGTGTTATTAGTTGATCTAAATGTGTTGTCATTGTCCAAATCACTTACCAGTCGGCGTGTCTTCACTAAGTTATTAGTTGATCTAAATATGTTGTCATTGTCCAAATCACTTACCAATCGGCGTGTCTTCACTAAGTTATTAGTTGATCTAAATATGTTGTCATTGTCCAAATCACTTACCAATCGGCGTGTCTTCACTAAGTTATTAGTTGATCTAAATATGTTGTCATTGTCCAAATCACTTACCAATCGGCGTGTCTTCACTAAGTTATTAGTTGATCTAAATATGTTGTCATTGTCCAAATCACTAAATAACCAATCGGCGTGTCTTCACTAAGTTATTAGTTGATCTAAATAAATGTTGTCGTGTCTTCATTAAGTTATTGTTGTCCAAATCACTTACCAATCGGCGTGTCTTCATTTAGTTATTAGTTGATCTAAATATGTTGTCATTGTCCAAATCACTAACCAATTTACCAATCGGCGTGTCTTCACTCAAGTTATTAGTTGATCTAAATATGTTGTCATTGTCCAAATCAACTGGCGTGTCTTAACTAAGTTATTAGTTGATCTAAATATGTTGTCATTGTCCAAATCACTTACCAATCGGCGTGTCTTCACTAAGTTATTAGTTGATCTAAATATGTTGTCATTGTCCAAATCACTTACCAATCGGCGTGTCTTCACTAAGTTATTAGTTGATCTAAATATGTTGTCATTGTCCAAATCACTTACCAATCGGCGTGTCTTCACTTAGAATGACTACTGGCGGTACATACCCCCACACTGGTATCGCTGCCTGTCCTGAAATGAGTAATATCCGACATATAGGATATACACGGCCTGGCCCATTACCAACAATACAAACCTGTGTAGTCATCTATCTCAATAAGTTGTTATTTGGGGTCATTCTCAAGTTATTTGGAGTCTAAAACATATTGGGAGTCAACTGTACCGTTACCTCCAACTTTGCACAGGAAGAACAGGGCATGGGGTTCTTGGGAGGCATTTAGAAGTTGGTGTTCAAGTAAATATATGGATGACAACTTCTTCTTTATTGTGTGTCACAACGTTTCTGGGCTATTCCTTGCCCCTTCGCCAGGTGAATTGTAACAACAAGATACATCAATGGGTATATATACTAAATGTACAAGAAGTCAGTGTTGCATGTATATACTATAAAAATTGGATAAGAAAAGGAGATGAAAGAGTGAGATTTACAGATAAAAGGTATTGTTTATACAAGGGAAGGGTTTATACTAGTGATTAGCAGACAAGGACATCGTTGGCTGGTTTGCGGACACGTGTGTCGGCATCGTAATCTAGTACAGTAAGTTCATCGTTTTGAATATAAGTTATTATTTTGATACCGTCTTCGCCGTTTTCAACTGCATTACTTATATTTTCATGAATTTAGACACCGCTGTACTTACATACTTCAAGTCGTGCGAGGTTCGACACAACTGTGAAATAGTGACGACTAACTAAGGAATACACAGATCTTAAGTGTTTACTTCGAGACAATCGCAACACAACCTTGTTCGATTGTATGTATGTATTTATGTGTATGGACGTGCGTGCTCGCGTGTGTGTGTATTACAGCGAAATCCGGATTAACAAACATTGCTTTGTAATATATAGTTTCGAATGTAACCACAGTAGTTTCCGGGTTGATGTGTTCGATATAACAGGGTTTCTCTATATGTAGAGGGGCGGTGGGGTAACTTAGTGGTTAAAGCGTTCGTTCGTCACGCCGAAGTCCCGGGTTCGATTCCCCACATGGGTACAATGTGTGAAGCCCATTTCTGGTGTCCCCCGCGGTGATATTCCTGGAATATTGCTAAAAGCGGCGAAAAACCAACTCACTCACTCGTTACATGTAGAAGTAAGGCAAGGTGTGATCCACCAAACAAGTGAAAACTACATGCTGTCCACCCTCTCACATTTAGCAATAATTAGTTTATAAGAAACGTAAGTGATATTATGTACATCAATGAACCTAAATATGCGTCTAATCTAGTACTGCTACCTATTCTTCAACTATATATATTCGCCCTTACGCAGAACTCCCGCCTCATTTATCCGACAGATTTACAAGCACATACATCTAATAACCTATGGAGAAATAGCAGCTGAAGGCGTTTCAATCTAAACCCACATGAAGGAACAGAAAGACAAACCATGACTGTGTTTTGTGAAACTTGAGAACTATTGTATTTTGCTTCATATGTGCCCCGGTTTGTTTACAGCAAGCACTTACCTGGCTAATATGGTCATAAATCTCTGATGTCTCCACACACAGGATATGTTCCCTGAGTGTGTTATCAGTATTGAGCTAGAGCTCTAACGTTCGTGACCCCTCTTGGAATTCCGTAATAGGCGATTGATACGCTGTCACTACGATACTCTGCAACAGCCACAACGGCCGTTTGAGGTCTGCTCACGTTTTCTGTATGTGAAGCAGTGGCATTGTCTCGCGCTGTGGCCGATATATATAGCAGGGGGAACACCAGCATACATCACTAGCATCACCAACATTGAACATCACCAGAAACATCAACATCACTAGCAAAATTATACATTATCACCAGGGCTGACTGACTGAGTTTGGTTTTACGCCGCTTTTAGCAATATTCTAGCAACATCACGGCGGGGGACACCAGAAATGGGCTTCACATATTGTACCCATGTGGGGATTCGAACCCGGATCTTCGGCCTGACGAGCCAACGCTTTAACCACTAGGCTACCCCACCGCCCCTTGGCACCAGGAACACCAACATACAACATCAGTAGGAACATCACTATACATTATCACCAGGAACACCAACATACACTATACAGCTTCAGTATACAACACCAGGAACACCAACATACACTATACAGCTTCAGTATACAACACCAGGAACACCAACATACACTATACAGCTTCAGTATACAACACCAGGAACACCAACATACACTATACAGCTTCAGTATACAACACCAGGAACACTATACAGCTTCAGTATACATACACTATACAGCTTCAGTATACAACACCAGGAACACCAACATACACTATACAGCTTCAGTATACAACACCAGGAACACCAACATACACTATACAGCTTCAGTATACAACACCAGGAACACCAACATACACTATACAGCTTCAGTATACAACACCAGGAACACACACGCGGAACATACATACTGTGGCCAAACAATGCGTATCACCTATATGGAGTGCAGTGGCAGAAGAGTACACCACAGAGAAATCATTTATTACCACATCCAACCACATCCTTCTATACGAATTGCCGTACTGATTAACCTACGTGTGTGCGTGCGTGTGTGTGTAAGAAAGAGAGGGGTGAGGGGGTCGTGAATTTGGTTTTACACCGCTTTTAACAATATCACGGCGGGGGTCACCTGAAATGGGTTTCACACATTCATCCCATTTGGGAAATCGAACCCGGAGCTTCGGCATGACGAGCGAATGCTTTAACCACTAGGCTACCCCACTGCCCCGAACACCCGAGAAACTTGAGATACTGACTTCGATATCTACATTCAAAGCCTTACTTCCCGTGTTTGTCGGTGTATATATGTATTTTTAACCCTACACCAGACGTATGTTTCAACCACAGGAAAATGTCCATACCTCAACCATGGTCTGTGTTTACCTATACCTCGATGTTATTGATTATGTCTGATAAGTTAAGTGTCTCACTTCAATACCATTCCTCCAATGTACGTGCAACGTCCCTAAATCTGCCACTATGTATCGCTCGGGTACGTTGCAAGTGCATACCATCTCTAATCTGTGTTAGTCAGACATGGGTACTTCAATCTACGTCTGGGTATAGACTTGAGTTAAACTATAACAGTTTCGGGTTTGCTTTTGGGAGTGAGCGAATGAGTGAGTTTAGTTATACGTCGGTTTTAGCAATATTCCGGCAATATCACGGCGGAGAAAATGGGCTTCACACATTCCACCCGTTTGGGACATTACATACACATGTGGGGATCCGGGTGTTCGGCGTTGTGACGAGCGAACGCTTTAACAACTAGACTACCCCACCGCCCCTTGCTTACTGAGTGCAGTTCAATATTTTACTCCAATTTGTCACAATGCACAGGTTACAGATAGTATCAACTTATATAGATTACAGTATATGTATGAATATTTGTTGAAGGATGCGCATATGAGATATCTATTGAGGCAAACACATAAAATATCTTCCAGGGCACTGGATAAAACATGCATGTAGGGTATCTTCTAGAATATAGAACATATACATATAGTGTACATATAGATTTTCTGTTAAGACATGGAGTTTACGTGTACACATGAAACATCTGTTAAGGCATTGGATATACTGGTACCTATCAAATATCTGTTGAAACATTGAATATACGTGTACTAGGGATATATCTGAACTAAGTACCATTACACCGGTCGTGAACATTCTTAACTTCCATTACGAGTAAACCAGGACGGACATTGTCAGTGATCAGGGCGAGGTTACTGCCTACTCAACACAGAACGTATATCACCTCTACTGACGGGCATGCGTCAACATGTGCCCACGTCATGGAGGTGGGGCGATATGCACCAGACGGATATCATCGAGGGTTTTGAAATATTGACAGTAATAAATGAGATATATAAAGTCATATTCTCAAACAACATTCCAAGGTTGTCTTGCTGATCAATATCTGAAGATCTTGATTAACACAGACGAGTAATATGTATGACATACTGTTTAGAGTCGAAATATGGCTGACTTATTGTCCATGCGGAGTCACGTTTAACTCCACAGTCAGACACCTACTATGTTAATATTACACTGTTGGGGTCTTGTTATAGAAACAAAGAGAGGTGACCTGACACTCTAGCAATGAACTATTGACAGGTAAATTCCTATCACCCCATAATGCAGATGACTTGTGACTCAACACAAGCGTTTGTGTGTCTGTCTGTATGTGTGTGTGTTTGTGTCTGTGTAGTTGTGCGAGTATGTGTCTGCGTGCGTGCGTGCGTGTGTGTGCGCGCGCGTGTGTTGTGCCAGCATGTGTGTATGTTAGGGGCAGGGGGGAGAGATGTGGTGCGGCTGACAGCGTATCGGTGTGTGTGTGTGTGTGTGTGTGTGTGTGTGTGTGTGTGTGTGTGTGTGTGTGTGTGTGTGTGTGTGTGTGTGTGTGTGCGCCAGTATGTGTCTGCGTGCGTGTGTAGGTGTGCCTGTGGGTGTTGTTTTGCAAGTAGACTGGGTGGTGGTGGTGGTGGTGGTGGTGGTGTTTAGAGAGATGTGGTGCGGCTGGTGTAGCGCCTGCGTGCATATGTGCGTGCGTGCGTGCGTGCGTGCGTGCAGTTCCTTACACCACACGGACGTTCAATGTGTCACATCATTTATAGAGACATCCAATAGACATCCTTCTAGCAGTGGCCGTGTAGTGGTGTAGTCCTGACGTACTAATTAACGCTCCAACTCCCACCACCTCGTACCACTTCCCACCACCTAGAACCACCTCGTAACACTTCCCACCACCTCGCACCACCTAGAACCACCTCGTACCACTTCCCACCACCTCGCACCACCTAGAACCACCTCGTACCACTTCCCACCACCTCGCACCACCTATACCCACCTCGTACCACTTCCCACCACCTCGCACCACCTAGAACCACCTCGTACCACTTCCCACCACCTCGAACCACCTCGTACCACCTCGTACTACCTCGCACCACCTAGAACCACATCGTACCACCTCGTACTACCACACCGTATAGTCATGTTAAGCCTGTATGCAAGTACTTCAGTATGCAATGATCATATATGCTGTCCCCACAACCCATGCATCGAGCAGGACGGTGTTGACAAACACATATTGACTGTCACGTACTTACTGAATGGTATAAAACAGAGGACTGTGACCAGTAACCCGAGCCGAACTGTCTCCATCGCCGAGTCAAAGGTATGTATCACAAGGCACTCAGGTAGGTTTAACACAGATAAACCCGTGTTATATCCTTTTGCCAAAAAAAACCCTTGCTATATCCTTTCGTCAGAGAAACTTGTGTTTATTCCGTCGTCAGAGAAACTTGTGTTATATCCCGTCGTCAGAGAAACCTGTGTTATATGCCGTCGTCAGAGAAACTTGTGTTAAATCCTTTCTTCAGTGACATCTGGGTTATATCCGTTCGTCAGGGAAAACTTTTAGATTCCTTCGTCAGAAAACGTGTGTTATAAACAGTCTTCAGAGAAATATGTGTTATATCCTTTCTTCAGAGAAATCTGTGTTATATCCTTACGACTGTTTTATCACACCTAGACACACTGCATACAGTTTGTTTGTGGTGAGATTTGATAGTAAGCCTGCGAACTCAGAAAGTATCCTGTTTTGATAAATGTTTAGCCAGACACCCCCATTCTTTGACAACTCAGGGAGATTTGTTCCATAATGCGTCCAGTATTTTCCTCGACGTGCCAACAGCCACTGAAAGGTAAACACGCCACTTCAATTAATTAATCTCACAGGTTAGTAAATCTTCTCATGTATAAAATGTCAATGAATTAAAACTGCGAGACACGAAAGTATCCAGCCCATGTATGTTCTTATCTGCTAGTGCGACACCCTCCTTAAGTGACTTCGGTACAGTTCGACCAGCCTATGCCGTCTCTACATGACCTTTCGCCATTAGGCAGTGCCGGGTCATCTCAATACCGACAGGCGTTGCCCGCGGTGACTACTTACATCTTGCTGGGGACATACAGTGGGCAGCTGGGGCGTGTGCAATAAAACAATAAAACAGGAACAAATATAACCCTCACGATGAAAGGTTCCTACTGTCGATCAGTGTCACCTACTCACTCACTCACTCACTCACTCACTCACTCACTCACTCAACCGCTTTACTGAAGACAGTCCCTCTATTGTCGACGTTCGCTGTAGATCTGGTCATTCCTTCGGGGTGTTTTCCATCCTGTACTTCAGTCTAGATGTTCCTTATCAAAAACTGTTGTCCGTACCCTCTACCCATCTCTCTCACACCCATCCACCCCATCTCTCCTATAGTCCGTACCCTCTACCAATCTCTCTCACACCCATCCACCCCTATCTCTCCTATTATCTGTACCCTCTAACCATCTCTCTCACACCCATCCACCCCTATATCTCCTATAGTCCGTACCCTCTACCCATCTCTCTCACACCCATCCACCCCTATATCTCCTATAGTCCGTACCCTCTACCCATCTCTCTCACACCCATCCACCCTATCTCTCCTATTATCTGTACCCTCTACCCATCTCTTTCACACCCATCCACCCTATCTCTCACACCCATCCACCCCTATATCTCCTGTAGTCCGTACTCTACCAAACTCTCTCACACCCAACCACCCTATATCTCCTGTAGTACGTATTCTCTACCAAACTCTCTCACACCCATCCACCCCTATATCTCCTGTAGTCCGTATTCTCTACCAAACTCTCTCACACCCAACCACCCTATATCTCCTGTAGTCCGTATTCTCTACCAAACTCTCTCACACCCATCCACCCCTATATCTCCTGTAGTCCGTACTCTACCAAACTCTCTCACACCCAACCACCCCTATATCTCAGGTAGTCCGTATTCTCTACCAAACTCTCTCACACCCAACCACCCATATATCTCCTGTAGTCCGTATTCTCTACCAAATTCTCTCACACTCAATGGGTACCAGGACAAGTTACTGCTCAGCATGGTGAGAGACATTATGATGTCGATGTGGGTAACCGGCAGTGTCGCAGACACATCGACCAGTTGCGATCCAGAGAGGAACACAATATTAGCCTTCAAATTGAACCAGATTTACCAGAGAGGTGTGCAGCACGCTGGTTTATCTGTACGCCCCAATCACCGCTATATCTCCTGTAGTCCGTATTCTCTACCAAACTCTCTCACACCCATCCACCCCTATATCTCCTGTAGTCCGTATTCTCTACCAAACTCTCTCACACCCAACCACCCTATATCTCCTGTAGTCCGTATTCTCTACCAAACTCTCTCACACCCATCCACCCCTATATCTCCTGTAGTCCGTACTCTACCAAACTCTCTCACACCCAACCACCCTATATCTCCTGTAGTCCGTATTCTCTACCAAACTCTCACACCCAACCACCCCTATATCTCCTGTAGTCCGTATTCTCTACCAAACTCTCACACCCAACCACCCCTATATCTCAGGTAGTTTGTACCCTCTACCCATCTCTCTCACACCCATCCACCCCTATATCTCAGGTAGTCTCTACTCCCTACCCATCTCTCTCACACCCATCCACCCCTATATCTCCTGTAGTCCGTACTCTACCAAACACTCTCACACCCAACCACCGCTATATCTCCTGTAGTCCGTATTCTCTACCAAACTCTCTCACACCCATCCACCCCTATATCTCCTGTAGTCCGTACTCTACCAAACTCTCTCACACCCATCCACCCTATATCTCCTGTAGTCCGTATTCTCTATCAAACTCTCTCACACCCATCCACCCCTATATCTCAGGTAGTCCGTACTCTACCAAACTCTCTCACACCCAACCACCCCTATATCTCCTGTAGTCCGTATTCTCTACCAAACTCTCTCACACCCAACCACCCCTATATCTCCTGTAGTCCGTATTCTCTACCAAACTCTCTCACACCCAACCACCCCTATATCTCCTGTAGTCCGTATTCTCTACCAAACTCTCTCACACCCAACCACCCCTATATCTCAGGTGTAGTTTGTACCCTCTACCCATCTCTCTCACACCCATCCACCCTATATCTCAGGTAGTCTCTACTTCTCTCTACACCCATCCACCCCTATCTCTCCTATTCTCCGTACCCTCTACCCATCTCTCTCACACCCATCCACCCCTATCTCTCCTATAGTCCGTACCCTCTACCCATCTCTCTCACACCCATCCACCCTATCTCTCCTATTATCTGTACCCTCTACCCATCTCTCTCACACCCATCCACCCCTATCTCTCCTATTATCTGTACCCTCTACCCATCTCTCTCACACCCATCCACCCCTATTATCTGTACCCTCTACCCATATCTCTCTCACACCCATCCACCCCTATCTCTCCTATAGTCCGTATTCTCTACCAATCTCTCTCACACCCAACCACCCCTATATCTCAGGTAGTCCGTACCCTCTACCCATCCCTTTCACACCCAACTACCCCTATATCTCCTGTAGTCCGTATTCTCTACCTATCTCTCACACCCAACCACCCTATCTCTAGGTAGTCTGTACCCTCTACCCATCTCTCTCACACCCATCCACCCTATATCTCAGGTAGTCTCTACTCTCTACCCATCTCTCTCACAGCCATCCACCCCTATCTCTCCTATAGTCCGTACCCCTCTACCCATCTCTCTCACACCCAACCACCCTATATCTCCTGTAGGTCCGTACCCTCTACCAATCTCTCTCACACACATCCACCCCTATATCTCCTGTAGTCCGTATTCTCTACCCATCTCTCACACCCAACCACCCTATATCTCCTGTAGTCCATTATTCCTCTACCAATCTCTCTCACACCCATCCACCCTATATCTCTCCTGTAGTCCGTACTCTACCAAACTCTCTCTCACACCCAACCACCCCTATATCTCCTGTAGTCCGTATTCTCTACCAATCTCTCTCTCACACCCAACCACCCTATATCTCCTGTAGTCCGTATTCTCTACCAATCTCTCTCACACTCAACCACCGCTATATCTCCTGTAGTCCGTATTCTCTACCAAACTCTCTCACACCCATCCACCCCTATATCTCCTGTAGTCCGTATTCTCACCAAACTCTCTCACACCCAATCACCCTATATCTCCTATAGTCCGTATTCTCTACCAAACTCTCACACCCATCCACCCCTATATCTTAGGTAGTTGTCTCTACCCTCTACCAATCTCACTCACAGCCAACCACCCCTATCTCTCCTATAGTCCGTACCCTCTACCCATCTCTCTCACTCAACCACCCCTATATCTCAGGTAGTTCGTACCCTCTACCCATCTCTCTCACACCCATCCACCCCTATATCTCAGGTAGTCTCTACTCCCTACCAATCTCTCTCACACCCATCCACCCCTATATCTCAGGTAGTCCGTATTCTCTCCCAATCTCATTCACACCCATCCACCCCTATATCTCCTATAATCTGTACCCTCTGCCCTTCTCACTCACACCCAACCACCCCAATAGCGCCTGTAGTCCGTAATCTCACACATATTACCCTAATCCTCACTGGTCAGTTTTCACACGTCCTTATTTTGACTTGACTGAATACAGGACGCAACAATTCCTGGTGTTAATATTTTGTCCGTTCGATTCGGCAGCTGTCTGGAAAGTCATAAATACTGGCCAATAGCGAAATGGGTGTATATGGTGTTATGCTTCTCTGCTACAATCTGGTATGCTATGTTTACCTGTCATAAATATCTGTGTATGTTCTTGTCACAAACAGGCAGTCTAGTTAAATGTTTTCCTGGGTGGTTCAGAGGAAGCCCTCCGCAATGCCAGAGAAGTCATAACAGAGCTGTGAAATGGCTCGAAGATAATGCATAATTATGGGATATAATACATATATTCTACTTTGAAAATTGCAAATGAATAAAATCAAATTCACGAAAAGTTAAGTTTTTATAGTTACAAAATACAAAATTCGTTTTACTTTAGTGGTAAATATTTGCAAATTGTCTGTATTCAGAGTGAGAGGGTGGCGTTTTACGCTGTTGACAGGAAATTATAGATACAACCTACTCTGGTTTGGAGCAAGCAAACCATGAGAGTCGAACATGTTATTGGAGTGCAATGACACAGATAGCTAGCCATGGTCAAGGCAGGATCCTTGATAAGCTAGAATCGTACATAGATTCAGGTTTTCGCACTCATGCACATTCTACCCTTAGTGTCGAAACAGGCACCCCAGGCTGGTCAAGGAACACGGCCAGCTGAATCGGGTTGTCATTCTTGGAGACATGGCTGATTGTGGTACACCGGGTTGTCTTCTCCAGAGCGTATTTCCCGGCCGCCGCTGGAATATAGCTGAATGTGGCCTGGACGAAAAACTTCACAAATAATGGATAAGCACAAAAAGTGTAAGCGATAAGAAATATACCATTTATGTCTCACACGCATACCGACAGTTAGTTCATACCTAATGTAAGATGTGTTGTGATTTTTAAGGCAATAGCACGATTTCCACCCATCAGTTTCCATGGAAGCTGAAATCAGCTGTGTGATCAAGTAACGTTTCTACAACTATGGACGATACAGTTCATATATGTATGCTAGTGTACATAGCTGACCTGGTTCATTTTGTTGTGTTATTTGTCAGCGTAGGTTGTACTTCATTTGTCACGAAATGGGGCTTTGAGGCGCCGTGTATTTCTTGTGTTATAACGACAATGTCTCTGTTGAAACATTCTGTCCTTTGATTTCATGTTTTGAACTGCGCCAAGGTCGAATTTTCTTTTTTGTGAACCGACTGAGGTCATGGAAAGTATATTAGCTGTATGTTTACATCCATAGTTTGAATGTTCTGTAAAGTAACATGTTTGGAATGAACTGAAATAGACTTCACAAGTATGCAGTTTGAGGTAGTAGCGCCTAATATCGTCAATACTTTAAATATCATGTTTTGCGGCATAGGTGGATACATTCAGTAGATGTCACTCAAAAATGTAGTTTCAATTAAAGTTGTAATGTCTCAAGTTTTTAATCATACCAGATATACTGATACCAAAAAGCTACTGACATATATATAAACCTCTCTCCCGGAATCTTAAATCTTCATAGGACCACCACACCCATTCATTTCTGACCTATTGTACATCAAAGGTACTTGACACAATGGCAAATACTGTTATTGGTAGTCAGTATTGTTGTCTCGCCGCTATAAGTCAAAACTCTCAAGGTTGTGGTCGATCAGTGAGGTAAGGCTGGTCGGGGAATATTTACTATCTGGGTTACAAACCCCTTTCACCACCACGTGTATGGCGCTGTAGTCCACGTGTGTTGTGCCCTGAAACCTACAATGGTCTTCAGTGCACACACATGTTTATTTATGATTACTGTGCACTTAAGACCATTGTAGGGTTTAGGGCACCACACACGTGTATCACGCTGCTTGCAAGTCGAGCTAGCAGCATCGGGACAAGACAAAACTATGGAATCAATAAACATCATTCAAAGCGCGACAATGCGACATAGCCAAAAATGGACAAAATGTCCCGTTGTGGCATTGTCGCACTTTGGTTAATTTTGCCACTTTTTTTTGTTTTTGTAAGGGCGACAACGCGAATGTCTTCTTGGATTCCATACAAAACACTTCGGGCAGATGTAGAGTTCAACTTGCATCAGCTGGCTAAACCACCATCTGTCACTGTCCACACACAGAACCCTCATGTCGACATGATCTAGTAAATATTTATGATGCGAATTGAGCCGAATTTCTATTTCAAAATCCTATGTTTTAACGTCAATCATGTCCTGCTTGCCAGACACAAGTCAGCTTAACCTGATAACCATCTAGTAGGTCCACACCCCTCTGTGTGGAGGCCCTGCTTACTGGGCAGCAGCTCATTGACCAAGTTCTTCTGCATCACACACCGAACATACTGAAGATGAATGGACAGGATTCTGATAGGTTAAAATATCGTTCTTTTAACCATATTATGTCTCTGTATAACTCATTGGACTTTGACTTCCTGATCCCTGACACTGAGGTATTTGGTATCAAAGTTCCACAAATTTCATCATCAGGTATTGTGATGCAATTTGTAAAGTTTGTGGTGCCAAATTCTAATGGTAGTCCCACAACACCCTCACTCCTCCACAGCTGGTACTGCCACCATGGTGTAGTGGATAGTGTATTTCCCTGGAGAGGAGGTAAGAGGTTTGATCCCCTGGTCATGCTATACCTAAAGATGTAAACAGATGTTCCCCAGCCTGGCACTTGGCATTCAGGACATAAACCAAGGACTGATCGGCTGGGAGTGAGTATGCTATGTCTGAGTGGGGTATACTGTCTCCTCTGTCACAGATAAGCAGATTGTGTCCCAGCTGATGTTTGCTAACAAACATACATAGTCTCAGAGTGTCATAAATATTGGTGTTAGCCTGACTCACTTCAGACCTTCCCACACCAGGACATGTAAGCCCTGTAAACCAATAAATGATAAGAAATGTCAGCACTTATGTTGTTTCATTTTATTTTATTTTTCTTTACAAAAATATCACATATGTATATAAAAATCTTGTGCAAATGTTTACAATACACATTTTGAACGAGTCCATTATTCAGCTGTAGATGTGACCATGATTGTTTTGGTGCTTCAACTGAATATGATGATATTTTTTCAACAAAGATGTTTCAATGCACTTTGCACGTAGGATATTTTTCAACTTTATTCAATAATATTTCAACCAAACAAATAAAAAACAGTCAATAATGGATTCAGTCCCAGATATAGGTGACATTATTTCATTTTATGTACAATATGTAAATATAGTATATATACAAGATATGTTGGTTAATGAGCACTCAGATCTCGCTCCAGCTCAAGACTACACCGCTGTACAACCAGGCCTAAAGGCAGCTCAAATTACACAGATTACATGATAATTACCCATATTTCCACAACATCATATCGGTTTTCTCTAAGTGCATATACAGACTCAAAACTTTAGTTTTCTTTCACAACATTATACATTGTTTTCATAAAGGACTATCGATACTTCCTAATCAGGTTTGGCACCTGGCCAGGTGGTGATTGAAGGAGGAGTCAATTACAGTTACTATTGCCGAGTTATTCAAGATCTTATTGATGATAACAAAGTAACTGTCAAATAGACTTGTTACAATGTCTGGATCTTTCTGTTATTTCTTTTAAATGCTATCATATACATGACTGCCATTGCTATACATATCACACCAGGCAAAGGCTGCCTTACACAAGTTTGCATGCCTCTGGAAGAATGTTCATGTTTTCCTGTTGTGACAATATAGCCACTGAATGTCTACAAGAACAGCATGTTACAACTCCAGTAATGTCACTCCTGATATGATTACCAAGTCCTTTGTATCACTTTGGTTGTATTGACCTTCAAATATATATAATAAACAGTGTAGCTGGTTAATATGACTGTTGTATTTCCTAAACTCTTAGCCAATGCAGTTTCCTTCCAGAATCATTGGCCATCAGGCAGTTCTTGTGGAATATTGATGTGTAGCACTCCTTGAGACATATTTACATAGGGTCCATTCCTGAAACAAAAGACATTGTTGGGTCATTCCCACTGTCTCATTGGTTCATTCTATACTACACATACTGGTCATTATCAGTGTTATCCTACAGATACATATATTTTCCAAATTGGTAACGGTATCTGAGAATGGCCTCTCATAAATTGAACAATATCAAATGTCAACACTCTCCTGCAAAACCACAGTTGAACAACAATTAATTAACAAAAGCATTAATTTCAACTATTGAATTATTTTCTTTTTTAAGATGTCAATGTGTCACATCCATTAGCGCTGAAAACCTGCTGATGCAAAGTGTAACTTCAACTCCCTCACTAACTCAACCCATATCCTGAACATATCATCTTCATCAGCACAGGGAAGTATGTATTTTTAATGGTCATGTAAGAAAAACTTCCATGGAAAGACTTTAGTTGTATTTTGAATAACAAAATATCTTTACAGCTTGACTGCAATGTATTAAGTATGCCACTACTTACGTGTTTCTTGTGAATCCATGAAATCTTTATGACTGAAAAACGAATCAACTAATTAATAATCAGGAACATATGTAACCATATGAGGTTAAAAGTCTATAACGGTAAGGCATAAATAGTACACAGATGGGTAACAGTGGCAGTCAAAGGGACTTGCTCCACAAGCATACGGTTTGCGTGTGTTGTCTTGGAGGTTCAAGAATATACTTGTCACTCTGAAGACCCGGGTTCGATTCTCCACATCAGTAAAATGTGTGAAGCAAATTTCTATGTTTTCCCACCCCAATATGGGTGTGGTATTGTTAGACAACAGCTGGAATATTGTACAAACAACACAAAACCGTACTCACTCCTGGTGTATTAAATACATATGTAAACACAGGATAGGCAGAAGGACTAGTTGGGTTCCCTGAAGGGCATCTGGACCTACTTTTTATAGAGGATGCAGATGGCGCCAATGAGGATGCAACAGCAGATGAAAATGAAGATGGCCAAGGCGACCAGTGTCCACCACAAGGGCTCCCAGCTGATCCTGTCCTTGGATGACCGCGTCTTATAGCATGACTGTCAAAAACACAAAACCCATCAAACACCCACAAATGATTCATCACTTTCATGCAGTGAAGAATACTACTTGTACAACAACATCTTATGTACCCACACATCACTTCCATGCAGTCTAGAATACTATTTGTAAAACAATATCTCATGTACCTATACATCAGTTACAAATCTTCATAATGACCACACTCTCACACTCACTCTCACCAGAACCCCTTTCCACAACTCCTTGAAATGTCCCAACACTCTCCACACCTCTGTGCAGTGTTCCAACACTCTCCACACCTCTGTGCAGTGTTCCAACACTCTCCACACCTCTGTGCAGTGTCCCAACACTCTCCACACCTCTGTGCAGTGTCCCAACACTCTCCACACCTCTGTGCAGTGTCCCAACACTCTCCACACCTCTGTGCAGTGTTCCAACACTCTCCACACCTCTGTGCAATGTTCCAACACTCTTCATAACCCTGTCATGTTTCCACACTGAGACTCACCCCTGGGCTACCAGCGCCATATTTCTGTAGGATTTTCTGATAGTTGCTGTTGTCCAAGCCATTTGCCCCTTCCCTCACGCTCTGCACATTGTCCTTTGATACCATGACAAAACATACATCCGTTCTAGAAAATACAAAGAAACAATCATTAGAAAAACAGCAAAACATCACTTAAACATCACACATTGACGTTGTAAGCCTCTAGGCATGGATAACTTATAGTGGGAGCATGGGTGACTAAACAGTCAATTGTATCCAATATCAGTTGCAGGATGTGCTGATCAAAGGTTCAAATCAATCGGTTAATAAATGTTTGTTTGTCAACACCTGCGAGTAAACATCTGTGACCAGACCCTCCTTTAGACACGGTGATCAAACTTGTTTTACACTTCTCACTCACTGTGATCAAACTGGAAGAAATGTTTTACAACTTCTCACTCACTCACTCACTCACTCACTCCTCCAAGCAGTTCAGTCATGTCAGTCATGTCAATCTTACTTTGCGGACTCTCTATCTGCGTCTCCTCTGTGGTAGGATATCTGCTGGACCTTGAAATAATTGTCACTGCTCACTCCATTCAGCGCTCTAAAAACAAATATATAATGATACAATACTCCCTACAGACTATGGTTTAGTCTCTGAAAATGTCTAATTCGGACAGAAACAAACAACTCTCTTTAAGGTGAAAAGGAGCTCCAGGAACACGAGATTTAGGGATTATTACCATCTGAATTGGGCTACACATGTAGGGGTCATTTACGTGTGTGGTAACCTGGACCGGAATCCCACTTATTCTATTGTTATTGAGAGGTTACAAATGTATACATCGTATCATGATGAGCGGTCTGAAACCATTTGACTACTGAAGTCGCAATGCATGATGGGAAGTAACAGCATTACTTCAGAAACTTCTGGGGAGTAATAATTATTTGACATTACATTACAACACCATGGAAAATCAAGACTTAGGGCTGTAGCATACAGTAAGGGCTGGGCGGACAGAAAATAATATGGTTCAATGATTATGAGACAGACTAAACACTCCACAGGATGGCATTGAGCCATAATGTGTATATGTTCTAGTTACGGTTTCCTGCTATCATTCTGAGTTGAGCAGACGTACATGAGAAGGTCATTCACTTTATTCCGGGCATCATTTGGCGGTTCATTAATCACAACGCGGATTGTCTGGGCTGGCTCAAAGATGTAAATCTGAAACAGAGAGCATAGACTAATGCTCAACGATACAGGTCTTTGAATATCATTTAGATGTGATACACATAAGGAAGATGGTCTTATGGATGTCAACTTCTTTATTATTTGAGGAACACAACATTTAGGAGTACCCCAGTATAGCCTTACTCTTTCATCAGGTTGTTGATACACTTCATCAAAATAATTACTCATTGATCAGCTATTACTGCATCTTCAATATATCGTAAAATCATCAAAGTGTACCAAGAAATCTTGAATAGTGATGTGGAATTTCTTCTTTTCTATATTTTGTTTTTCACAGAATATTTTAATTACCCATCATCCTGCCTGGCATATCTTACTAACACACAAATGTGTTTAGGAACCATTAATGCAGACACATATCTACAAAAGTACATGCAACTTATTTTGTGTTGGTATTTACTTAGCTGCATGGCAACTGCATGTCAAGAAACTATTTGGGAGTTGTATTTGTACATGACATGCCTTATTGATGGGACTCACATATAGTTTCATGGTGTCCTTCAAGATGGGTTTGTTCACATCCTCCGCCTGCAGCATCACCTCGAAGAAGCTGCCAGGGAGGCGGAAGTCACTGTAGGAGGGGTAGTTGGTGCTGACAGTGCCAGTGTCGGGGTTGACAATGAAGGAACCAGGCAGGGGGTAGCTGGGGTACCCAGGCTCGCTGTACACAATGCCTGTTATGCTGTATCGGACTCGATTGTACAGATTGCTGTCAGGATCCGTGGCCTCCACTCGGACCACAGTCCTCTCTATGGGTACCGAGGGCACAACTGGAACATGGTCATATGGTCAGTTTCATTCTAGTACAACATGGAATATATAGAGGATATTATATGAGTGCCCATGTCATACTATGTTTACGACACGAGCGCCTTAATGTTGGTATTTCCCGAGCGGAGGCAAGCATTGCATTGTGACGTGAGATCATAGCATAGGGATATTTTGCCCGAGGGCATCGTATGAAAAATATGAACCCCAATATTTTCGCCCTCGTAGGTAATAAAACCCCATATGTTACATTAAACTGCTGTGTTATGTTAATAAACACATTTTACAAACTTTCTAACCCAACTCGCCAACAGAAAAAAACACGCTGTTACCTTCATACAGCAACTTCTGCTGAAATATGGCACTGTTATCATTGACATCACTAAGTGAGATAACCACGTATGCAACATGAGACGTATCCGTCATCAGATTAACAGGGTAGACGTCTGCTTGCCGCCGCTTCCTCTTCTGTGCCACCTTCGCTCTGACACACACAAGATGGGTGGCTTTTGACTCCCTGTCAAGAGACTTGGCAGTGAAAATGACACCCTCGCTATCAACGGTGAAGCTACCAATAGACTCTGTTTGACCTGCAAGAGAGATCAGAACTTTAATGCAACAACCAATATATTCTTTCTGTAGACTGTGGGCAACAACAGTCTTCATATAATGGACTATTTCTTCACTTCGAAGTACAATCTGCTGAAATTCCAACTTGCTATTATGTTAGGTACAGTGCTACTGAGGGATATGAGGGGTCAGAACAGTCAAGACCTGGGCAGGGATTTTGGAATGATTTTAGCCCTAAATGTACCCGTAATAAATACCTGGCAGCATAATTTGCCATAGAAATTTTTCAAACAAATCATCTGCTTTTCTTTGAAACACTGACATTTGATTTTGTTAAACGAAGTGATTCTAATCGATGCATGCATCAATGGCTTCACATCAGAAATACTGCTAATGGCATTTCCCAATGATAACCCACCATATCTTCAATGGATAAGGCAACCAACATCATAGAGATCTGGGTGTCTTTTTCCATTTACAGTGTGTATATATTCCATAGTTAAGTTGCTGTGTGCTAGTTTTCTTTGGTAGGCATGTTGACTGTCTCACTACTGTGACTAAAGGGGCTATCTTGGTCAATGACGTACATGATACCTGAGACATTCAAGGTCTCCAGGACTTGCCTTGAAGGTGGAATCTTCTCAAGAACCTTGACTATGAACAGTTTGACACCGAGGTGCTGATTATTATAATTACTGAAAATTAATGGTACTTACACAATGAGATACTTGTCTCTAATTCATAGGTCACACCATTGATGATCTCATCCAGATCACATGCTTGGACCCTGTACACGGAGGTCCCTACAGGTGCGTCCTCACTGATCGTCACCCTCTGGGGAACCTCAAGCTGGAAGAACAAATCAACATTCAAGGCTAGAACTTCAAGTTTATTTACCATGTTTTCTTCCAGCAATTCAGTTCATATCTAAACTTAAAATGCCTGCCTTCAGTGCATTGCGCATGCTTCCTTTCAAAGCCACACTAGCAGGGCAGCATGGATGGCACAGTCAACCTTGTAATTGCTGTGCAGAGTTGTGTACCTTGGTCAAGCCAGAAAATATGATTGTGGGTTCGAATCCCGTTCCTTCATATTTTCATACTTGTCAGCACCATACTGATGCTTGAGTGACTTCCCCAGAATGGTACGTGCCTGAGACCTGCGTGAGTTTTCACTTGGCTTGCACATCAAACTGACATGCCCTGATATATTTCTAATACCTTAGCAAAGTGATGTTAAACATTATACAGATTCACAGTCCTTTGTTCACAGACGGTGCCAAATTTATGCACCCATTTTAAATGTGCGAAACCAATTTAATTACAGGTAAGTGCAGAAATGTGTTCATGAGACCAGCTTAAACCATTGAGACAATATTCAGCATGAATTGCAACAGACAAATAATCCCGCCAGCCAGAAAAGCCAGCGAAGACTGCCAGAAAACATGTTACAATGCCACACAACAGTCACCACCGGTCACCTACATAATGTCCTAATATTATTCTCTTGTTGAGACAGGGGACTGGTCCAAAGCAAATTCATCTGCAAGCTGGATGATGAAATAACACATCAATGGACAGGAGCTCCCGCATTTCTACTCACCGAGAGGCCTGGACATTTACCAAATTCTGGCACATTGTCGTCTTTATCTCTGACATAGATGGTGAGTGCCCGGAAGCTCTGCAACGTTGTGTTGGCCTTGTCTGTGGCAACCAGGATGATCTAAGGACAGATGAGAAGAGAGGGCTTTAGACAGTGTGCCCCATTGGAAAACATCTCAACTTTTCACTTTTTCAGTTTATGTGTTCACCGACCAGCACCATAGACCCCACCTGCCTGATCACAGGCGCTGGATGAGAGAAATATGAAGATAAATAATAATAATAATATGTGTATTCATAATGCACTGATTCCACACATAAGGCATGCTCAAAGAGCTACATATTTACAAATATTTACAAAGCAAAGGTTATGCTAGAACAAGGGTAAAATGTTTGGAACGTTAAGTTATAGATTGTAAGATTTTCTGAAAAGATGGGATTTTCTGAGAAGATATACAAATATAAAGTACCTATTAACCTTCCATGTGATCACAGATAATGTGCATAATATGAAGTCTCTGGTCATTACCAAAAGCTAAACACCATGCAATTTAAAAAGGTTTTTTCCTACTGAACCCAAAGAATGACATGGCAAATGAAATACATGAATGGTGAGCTTCATAAATGAATTTATGTTTTGCTTTCAACCAGCCCATGTTAACTGGATGCATCAAAGATTCCAAACCAGGTGCACAAGGTATGCAAATATGGATTAAATCATTATTTTTCTCAATGTTCAAGTTGTTAAATTGATTTGTTACATGCAATAGTGTAAAAGTTGGCACTAAATCCCCTTTGTTCCTCTTTTTGTCCTGTTACCAGTGAAGTCAATTCATTGTTACAGAGCCATTTTATCAGTTACACACCTATTATAACATAAATTTGATTGTTTTAATTCAAACTGGTATTTTGTACAGAGATAGGCTGCACTTCTTGGTACCATGTATCAGCCACACCAAAAGATAGATCATTGTTCAATGAACAGAAATGGACATGTGTAATTTAGCTTGCCTTTGTACTGTGCATTTCAAATAGCCATCATCTCCTACCTGAATTATAGCCTTATCCTCTCTGTCGAAAACCCCATTAGTCGTAAGTCTTCCGGTGGTGCTGTTAATCTTGAACTTTTCATAGTCTGGACTGGCAGAATTCAGGCTGTAGATGACCTCTGGGCCGACGGAACGTGCAGCTGCTTGAGCAACCAGAACTAACTGCTCTGCTGGTGTACCCTGAGGAAGATAGTAGTATCAAAACTGTAAAACCCTCAACAGATTCATGCTAGTTATCCATGGTCAGATTATATATCTATCACAAAAATTTCACATTTTTCATTTTTCAGTACCATACCTTTACTACTATATACTGACTACAAACAGACTACATACAGACTATGTACATACTACATACAGACCATGTACAGACTACATACACACCATGTACAGACTACATACAGACCATGTACAGACTACATACAGACCATGTACAGACTACAAACAAACTATGCACAGACTACATACAGACCATATACAGACTACATACAGACCATGTACAGACTACATACAGACCATGTACAGACTACATACACACCATGTACAGACTACATACACACCATGTACAGACTACATACAGACCATGTACAGACTACATACAGATTGTATAAAGATAAAGACTACATACATGCTACACATACATTACATACTGTTACAACTACATAATCCTACATGCATGCTACATAAATCCTACATACATGCTACATGACTACATACAGCCTACATACCTCATCTATATAGTAGGGATCTCCGAGACGAGGAATGCTCCACTGAGGACGGCCATCGTCCAGCTGTCCACTTCGGACGTTGATGATCACCTGTGTCTCATTAAACAGGGATGGGGAGCCCCTGTCCTCTGCTCGGACGGTCACATTGAAGGGGCTGAAGGCAGATTGGTTGCGCAGGGAACTCTGAGTCAAGATGTACCCTGTGTTAGTGATACGGAACAGGTTCCTGGCTGGAAAGGAAATGCTGAATAAGGTGAGGTGGGGTGAGGTGGAAGTGTGTTTTGCGTCCATTTCAAGATTATTGCACTTCTACAGCAATGTACATCGTTTAAGTAGGTTATTATTATATTTTGTCAAGTGTGGATTAAAAAGCTTTCTCTGCATATCTTGTGTATGTCCACTTACGATCATTCATAGAATAAACTATGTCTCCATTGATTCCGATATCCCCATCCGTTGCTATGATACGCCCAACACTCTGCCCTATGTTGTAATTCTCCACGACATAGAATGGGTAGATGGCGCTGAACTTGGGAACATTGTCATTCACATCCAAAACAGTGATGGTCAGCTGAAGGACAATGATGCCATTACATATAGCATTGCAAGCTTGAAAGAATAAATATTGCTTGATGGCATTTATCTTTATTCCAAGGCAAAGAATAACAAAAATAGTACTTCTAGTTTATCTACATTCATGAAATAAAGAAACAAAAAAGTTTGGCTATTAGTGACCAGATTATGATTACATTCTGCTGTCCCTTCTGTGATTCTATTACCAATACAATTCACTATTTTAAATAGTCCCAAGTAATATGATGAGAAACAAACATAATACCTCAGAAGTAATACATCTTACAGACATTAACCCTCGAAACATACTGTAGACATGGTTGATTCACTTCAATATGACATTTCATTTCGGGCATCTTAATAATAATAATAATAATAATAATAGTGGGTATTTGTAACCGTGCCTATATCCGTGCATTCAATGCTCGCTCAAGGCGCTACAAAAGGAGTAAGTCTATGTCAAGAACTGATCAGACAGTGGGTAGAACATGTTAACATAGCACAGAGGACATGTATACAGATATATAGCTAGCTTTACCACCACATCCTACTCAGCTGTTGACATGTGCATGACACAGCAACAGGCAGCTGCACCTAACCAACAGATTGAGAGAATACAGAGGTTAATATCCATAACTCAACCCTCTCTTCAACTCAAAATGCCACTAAAGACATTCAAAATGAAAGAAACATATCTCTTAAGATTTTCTGTAAGTATAATTATAATTGACAAACAGCAGATAACAGGAGTTAATCTAATTAAATGGTACATAAAATACCAGAGAATAAGACTCACCGTAACGGATGTCTGCTTCCTGACCGTTGATGTTTGATTGGTAGGATTGTCTGAGGCAGTGATCAGAAGGTTGTAAACACGAGTTGTCTCAAAGTCTAGGTCGGCTGTTCGACTCACCAAGATCAAACCCTATGGACAGAGACAGTAAAAAATCATAGTGAGAGACTGCACCTAACTGGAGGTGTCAGCACAGACTTCCTAAAACACTATTTGCCCCTGCACCACCAACTCCCTAAAGCTATGAAAGTATTAATGTTGTTCACCCTTCCAGATGTTGAAATGAATGAAGACAACTTCTTCAGATCCAGCATATATATCCACATCTCATTATTGCACCAGTAACTGGCAATTAATGATGTTTCATGTTTCACAATAACTTTGTATATAACCCTAACCGTCGACATTTTGCAGTGAATTTTGTAAAGATACAGTTTTATGACTGTAGATAAAACAATGCCTCAGAATTAACAAAGAGATATCCATAGTTTACATAAACTGAGCTCTGGCCTTGACCTTTCACTTTTTACGTTGCAAATTACTCAAGAACGGATAGAATTCATTTGATTAGTTGGTAATTAGCTCAATAACATCAATCATGTTTTATTTCTGAAATAAATTGTTACAAATATTTTGAATCAAAAACACACATGAACATCTATGAGAGATGCATGAAAATGAGAAACAAACTGGTTACAGTATAAGGTTTCATGTGCTTACAGTATCATAGATCTCGAAGTCTTCCGCTCCCTGTCCTGACAGTGAGTACACAACAAGTCCAAAGCTGCCACTGTCCTTGTCTATTGCTTTCACATACCCGACACTGAATGGGTACCGAGCTGACTCAGACACGCTGAAGTCATAGCTGGGCTGCAGTAAAGAGAAGGACATATTGGATTAGCAGGTTGGCGACCCATCATCTCATTCTATCACTGACTGCATATAGATTTCAAACTAGGGTCTTTTTCTTGGATCTGTTTCCTAAGGTCAGTTTACTGGGGTGTGCTTCCTCGGTCTGTTTGCAGGGGTGTGTTTCCTAGGGTCAGTTTACTGGGGTGAGTTTCCTAGGTTCAGTTTACTGGGGTGTGTTTCCTAAGGTCAGTTTACTGAGGTGTGTTTCCTAAGGTCAGTTTACTGAGGTGTGTTTCCTAAGGTCAGTTTACTGGGGTGTGTTTCCTAGATCAGTTTACTGGGGGGTGTTTCCTCAGGTCAGTTTACTTGGGTGTGTTTCCTAGGTTCAGTTTACTGGGGTGTGTTTCCTAAGGTCAGTTTACTGGGGTGTGTTTCCTAGGGTCAGTTTACTGGGGTGCGTTTCCAAAGGTCAGTTTACAGGGGTGTGTTTCCTAGTGTCAGTTAACTGGGGTGTGTTTCCTAAGGTCAGTTAACTGGGGTGTGTTTCCTAAGGTCAGTTTAGTGGGGTGTGTTTCCTAGGGTCAGTGTACTGGGGTGTGTTTCCTTGGGTCAGTTTACTGGGGTGTGTTTCCTAAGGTCAGTTTACTGGGGTGATTTCAGTAGGGTCAGTTTAGTGGGGTGTGCTTCCTAAGGTCAGTTTACTGGGGTGTGTTTCCTAAGGTCAGTTTACTGGGGTGTGTTTCCTAGGGTCAGTGTACTGGGGTGTGTTTCCTTGGGTCAGTTTACTGGGGTGTGTTTCCTAAGGTCAGTTTACTGGGGTGAGTTTCCTAAGGTCAGTTTACTTGGGTGTGTTTCCTAAGGTCAGTTTACTGGGGTGTGTTTCCTAGGGCCAATTTACTGGGGTGTGTTTCCTAAGGTCAGTTTACTGGGGTGTGTTTCGTAAGGTCTGTTTACTGGGGTGTGTTTCCTTGGGTCAGTTTACTGGTGTGTGTTTCTTAAGGTCAGTTTACTGGGGTGTGTTTCCTAAGGTCAGTTTGCTGAGTGAGTTTCCAAGGGTCAGTTTACTGGGGTGTGTTTTCTAGGGTCAGTTTATTGGGGTGTGTTTCCTAAGGTCAGTTTACTGGGGTGTGTTTCCTAGGGTCAGTTTACTGGGGTGTGTTTCCTAGGGTCAGTTTACTGGGGTGTGTTTCCTAAGGTCAGTTTACTAGGGTGTGTTTCCTCAGGTCAGTTTACTGGGGTGCGTTTCCTAGGGTCAGTTTACTGGGGTGAGTTTCCTAAGGTCAGTTTACTGGGGTGTGTTTCCTAAGGTCAGTTTACTGGGGTGTGTTTTTTTTAAGGTCAGTTTACTGGGGTGTGTTTCCTAGGGTCAGTTTACTGGGGTGTGTTTCCTAGGGTCAGTTTACTGGGGGGTGTTTTTTTAGGTCAGTTTACTGGGTTGTGTTTCCTAGGGTCAGTTTACTGGGGTGTGCTGCCTCGGGTCAGTTTACTGGGGTGTGCTTCCTCGGGTGTGTTTTCTAGTGTCAGTATATACAGGTCCGCTTAAACAGGTCTGCTTCCTTGGGTCAGCTTACTGGGTTCTGTTTACTGGGTTGTTTCCTTGGGTATGTTTCCTCAACTTGTTTATCCAAGACTGTTTATGGGGTTTGTTCAAAATGGTGTGTGAGGTAGGGGTGTATGCTAGCTCTGTTTACTGGGACAGAAATTATTTGTGAATATCATTATAAGGTTACACACACTGAGATGTTGGTGAAAACACACACAAACTGCATCAAGCTGAATATTGGCCTGGGATGAACACAAAAGCTGAACCACAAGCGTAACAAAGGGATGAGAACATCTGCACCACCATGTTTACTTCAAAAGCCAATTCAACAAGGAATAAAGATACTTCTAAGCTACTGCATTCAGTCTCCTACACTCACCAATACAAACTGTGGACTGTTGTCATTATCATCCCGTACTTCCACTGTGACACTAGTGCGAGCCGTCCGGCTGTCATTAGCTCGAGCTATGATATCAATATTCAGCCTTCGGTCTCCATCATCATAGTCAAGAGCTTTTGTCAGAGATACCTGGCCTGAAAAATACACAATCATATATTCCGAACCGGAACATTTACTACTCGGAACTAAATCATGTTTACACTCAGGACCTGGATCATTCAGTTCCAAATAAAGTAATTTACCAAACATGTCACTGTTGTATACTGATCACCTCACAACACGATGACAAAATTACGAAGATGATCACACCCACAACAGCTAGGATGGCCAGTGCCTATAACCAGCAATCACATGTACCACTCAGAAGAACATACAATCCTTTCATACCACTATGAAAAACTACTAAGTTTAATCTGTCATGCCATGTAGTATCAAAGAACAGATAACAGCTGAGTACTGTTGTATCTCTGTCAGTCCTGGCTTCATTGCAAACAAGTGATGGACAGATAACAGCTGAGTACTGTTGTATCTCTGTCAGTCCTGGCTTCATTGCAAACAAGTGATAGACAGATAACAGCTGAGTACTGTTGTATCTCTGTCAGTCCTGGCTTCATTGCGAACAAGTGATAGACAGATAACAGCTGAGTACTGTTGTATCTCTGTCAGTCCTGGCTTCATTGCGAACAAGTGATGGACAGATAACAGCTGAGTACTGTTGTATTTCTGTCAGTCCTGGCTTCATTGCGAACAAGTTATGGACAGATAACAGCTGAGTACTGTTGTATTTCTGTCAGTCCTGGCTTCATTGTTAACAATTGAGTCAGATTTTAGTTTATTAATATTCATGAGATACTGGGTCACATCCCTCATTCACTGAAGATGCCCATAAATGATGTCAGCTGTGACGAGATGTAGCTCAGGTATAAACAGCTTGTCAGTTTACAGGGCTGAACTTTTTACCATTCTGGTGATCCACAGGTGACGGTGGATCAAACCTTGGACTAGTGGTCATCATAGGAAAGGGACATAACTCTGCCATGTCATATGCAGAACCTTCCAGGCTGACATCAGTAAGAATCAGTGAATACTATTTGGCGTCGCCTTGCTACATTAATAGCCAATCAAATCCCTAAGTCAGACAGTCCCAGAAACACAGGTTACTACAACAGGCGGTGGTTGGGCAGTTCGTGACAGAATTATGTGACATTGGTACTGACCAGTTCTCTGATCTACTTTCAAGTAGTTGTTGGGATCGCTGTTCTCCACTTCCACATAGTTGTTGAGGAGGCAGTTTCCACAGGCAGGGTCACGTGCAGCGACGGTGGTGATGACGTAGCCGATCTGTTTCCCCTCTGTCACAGAGAAGTAGTACCTGGCTGGGGTGAAGAAGATGGTGGAGATGTTGGTGCCTAGGATTGTCACAAGAACAGAAGCTGGAAGAAAACAAAACATTGTCATTATTCAGTCATCAATGAAACATGATTATAGAGCATTTGTAAGTCTTAAAAGGTGGATGCCTGTAGTCCAATTAGGAAGCCCTTACCAAATCATGAACTATGAACTGAGTATGTACCCAGGGGTTTCAGTCTTTTGATTTGTTTTTACATTTCTAAGTTTGTTTCTTCACAAGAACTTAAATTATATTCTGGTTAAAACACTATATCATGTTTCACCTTCACGTTTTCGAGCAGACAAAATGGCAAAATATTTACTAAAAACTCGTGTCAAATGCCCATCTAGGCTCTTTGGGACAGGTGAGCAAACAAAGTAAGATTTCTCCCTTACTTGAGGCTGTCTGTCTTAATGTCCCTTCAGCATTGAGATCGCGGACAAGGATGTTGAAAGTGATCTCAGCTGCAAGATCTCTCCGGAGAGTGCTGTTGGTTCTGATTCGTCCTGATATCGGATCTATTGCAAATGCAGACTGAAAGTAGAGATGAACAAGTGAGTGAGTGAGTGAGTGAGTTTAGTTTTACGCTGCACTCAGCAATATTCCAGCTATATGGCAGTGGGCTGTAAATAATCGAGTCTGGATCAGACAATCCAGTGATAAACAGCATGAGCATCGATCTGTGCAATTGGGAACCGATGACATGTTTCAACTAAACTACATTTTAAACATATATGGGGAAATCAAACTAACCTAAAGTCTTAGCATTCAAAATATTCTTAGAAAGTGCAGGTGATTAGAGACCAACCTTGTAATCAAATAACTGTTCGGGGATGGTATTGCCGCCACTGTTGCGGGCCTGCATGGTACTTTTGGGGATGGAGAAGCGCAGCTCGCTGTTGCTGTCCTCATCTGTCGCAGTCATATCCAACACAATGCTGCCAATTGGAGTTGCTGCAACCAGGCACAAAGTATATTATTAGTTGCTTCAACCAGGGACAAAGTACTTTAATAGTTGCTTCAACCAGGGACAAAGTATCTAATAGTTGCTTCAACCAGGGACAAAGTACTTTAATAGTTGCTTCAACCAGGGACAAAGTAATTTAATAGTTGCTTCAACCAGGGACAAAGTATCTAATAGTTGCTTCAACCAGGGACAAAGTACTTTAATAGTTGCTTCAACTGCTTCAACCAGGGACAAACTACTTTAATAGTTGCTTCAACCAGGGACAAAGTACTTTAATAGTTGCTTCAACCAGGGACAAAGTAATTTAATAGTTGCTTCAACCAGGGACAAAGTATCTAATAGTTGCTTCAACCAGGGACAAAGTACTTTAATAGTTGCTTCAACCAGGGACAAAGTATCTAATAGTTGCTTCAACCAGGGACAAACTACTTTAATAGTTGCTTCAACCAGGGACAAAGTACTTTAATAGTTGCTTCAACCAGGGACAAAGTACTCTAATAGTTGCTTCAACCAGGGACAAAGTACTTTAATAGTTGCTTCAACCAGGGACAAAGTATAATAACAGTTGCTCTTACACTCCGCTGTTTCAAGGGAAGTAGCCATGAGTCAGTGGTCACATTAAGACGTCTAGTGATACATTATACCCAATCCCCTTGCAGTATCACTACCAAATGATGGTACAGCATGTACATACATGATTCACTTATTACCTTCAGAGATGCTGGTGACATAGAACTGCTGTGGGAACTTGGGAGCCTTGTTGTTGGCATCTAGTAGGTTGACAATGACGATGGTTGATCCTGTCCTCGGGGGACTACCAGAGTCAATAGCAAACACCTGAATACAGAACATCCAGATAAAGCTGGTGGTATGACTGGATGTCAAACTGTTGAAGTGAATGTTTGTTGTTGAATGTCACACTCAGCAATATTTCAGCTATATGCCATCAGTCTTTGAATAAACAAATCTGACCCGAGAACCTGGTGATTGACATCATGAGTACAATCCCAAGCAGTTGTGATACAATGACATGCATCAACGAAGTCATAGAGTCTGACCACTCAGTCTTGTTAGTTCCAGTTATAAAATGCATTGGTTGCTAAAAATCCAGTTCTAATCCAGGGCCCACTTGCACAGAACAATGTTAGCACTACGATTATTGTAAATCCTTAAGATCGTGATCTAAGTTTTCGGCTACAATCGCCATCCACTTGCACAAAGCAATTGTAGGCTAAGATCATTGTAAGTTACAATCAGAAGTTGTTTAACAAACTCTCATTAAACTATTGACACAGTTCACTATTTGTTACGAGGGAAGAACGCAAAGAGAGGAACAGTCAGGTATACGAGAAGCACAAGCACAATGGTAGGAATGGTTTTCAGAGCGGGGGGCCCTAATTTATGAAAAGTATTGAAATTCAAAATGAAATTGTAGTTATGGTAAGGTAGATATGGTTTCGTCTTGACAAAAGTGGGGGGCTAAGCCCCCCCAAGACCCCCGTTCCTACGCCCCTGCAAGTGCCAACAAATTTATTGATTCATCCTTTGTCGCACACCTGCCTGTTCCTCTCTTTGCACTCCTCCTTCGCAAATAATAGTGAACTGTGTCAATATTTTAATTATTTTAATTTAAACAACTTTTGAATTTTTAGGACATAAATTCTGAAAAAAAAATCACAGAGTTGGTCTGGTGTTTTGATTATGATCAGTGTTTCACTGAGTATTATATGTTCATTAGGTTTCGAGTTAGATTGCAATTCATCAGTCCGCTTTTGAACCAAACAGACTGTAAAAGATTGTTCTGTGCAAGTAGGCCCAGATCTTCACTGAATTAAGATGAGTGAGTGATATGAAGTTGGTTCTGAGAAGCACTTTAAGCAGCTGACACCAAGAATGGGCTTGCCACAGAAGAGGCTACACAGACATGGCTGACAACAACAATGGGAAATACAGTTCCCATCAGCAGAGAACAAGGGGGTTTCCAGATCATCAAATCAACATGAAGAATGGCCTAGAACAACATATAGCTTATATAAAGTTGTTTAAGAATGTAAAGATAGTTTATCTGTGTCTAGCAAGTGATAGCCAAGGATATTATATATTAGAAGCCAGACAAAGTAAAATGATTCTTCAATTACTCACCACCATGTTGTATATAGGAAAGGCATTGAAGTCAAAATCAGCCTTGCTGCTGACTGTGATCAAACCACTGGTGTTGCTAATGTCAAAGTGTTCCCGACCTCCTGACTGAATTGTGTACCGGAACTCTCCGTTCTTTCGGCTGTCAGCATCAGTTGCAATCACATTCACAACTGACGTACCTGTTTCAGCAAACAAATTCTTGTTGAACATGTTATATTTTTCAACAAAAGCCATGATAATTCAGTTATTACTCCTGTTCACCTCACTACTAACATCCCCAACACACAAACATATCATCTCATAGTCCCCATGTGTTAATAACAGGCTGTGTATTGCCTTAATTATGCATAATTACCTGATTAGACTAAACTTCCATTCAAGTGAACCACAAAAAAATTTCTTCACATTTTTAGAAAAAAGATATAACTATGTAATTTCATTAATGTTAGTGTACTAACAATTCAGAATGTATTTCAAAACCACATTCTGGTGTTTCCAATTCATCAGAAAGTCACTATAAGGCATTGTTCTACATAAATACCAAACTTCACAATCAGATCAAAGTGTCCTTATAACAAGTATGTAGGGGTGAGTGACATCAGGATGAGACATGTGAAAAAAACTCCCTTCAGTTGGTGTCAGCAGAATGGGGAAAGCCTCAAGTAATGCAGGTTATATAGTACTACTTGGGCGAAACAAACCAATAATCATGTATATGAATGGGATTAATGGTACAAGAGACGCAGCTCTGCCTATTACTCTGTTGTGGTGCAGACAAATATAGCAGTTTCATTGGGACCAATACGTGATTCTAACCACAGACCAGTGGGGCACAAGGGGAACAACTCTGAGCAGCAGTGACACCTGAGCCACCAGATCCTGACATAACTTGGCCTGGTTGACCTCTGCCATTTACCTGGCTGGGCGTTTTCACTGATGTTGGCAGAATATGATCCCATCATGAAAGTTGGTGAGTTGTTATTCTCGTCCTGAGAGATAGAAATTAAAATCATTGTGATTATCAATCCAACTGAATATTCAAATACTTCCTAAATAATGAAGTGATATTCAAATATAAACAAATAGACACACACTGCAGGTTGAGCACACAGCAAGGAGGGTCATAAACCACATCAATGCACTTCAAAGTTATTTGCGGTCAAATGCATACTACAGGCTTGTCTTTTATATCATTTAAATGACAAATGTTCAGGTTACTGTGAGAATTTGGTTTTTTTAAATTTGTCAAATCAGCGTGCTATGTTTCAATGAAACATCTTTATCATCATATACTTGGTTTCAAGAATTTTCTGCAATCACTTATTGTGATATGATATTGTTCCTGTGTAAGCATTTCTTATGAAAGTCAAAAGTTCAAAACACCAAAAGGTACCATTCATAACTTGGTGATTATTGTTCATACTGAGGTTTAGTCCCAGTGTATTCAAATCTCCATTACATTAAATGTTTAGAAGCACCAACAGGGATAGAGAAGTGAGACACACTTTACCTGTACGTCCACCCTGACCGTCATGTTGACATACTGTGGAGGGCTGCCATTGTCAGAAGCCTGGATCACCACTTCAAAGCTGCAGAAAAGGAAGCAACACTTCAATATCCACTTTCATTTTACAAATGTCCACCTGTAATGTAATATTTCACTTCCATGTGATCAAACCCTTCATGTTGTAGTGACAGCAGCTCCTACCAGATTCTTCTTCTCAACCACTAAAGTAGACAAACATTAAAAAAATAGTCAGATGGCTTGTTCTTTTAGATTTTGAAACTCTAAAGGCTATTTAAATACACATAAAGAAACCTCTTTATTAATATTCAATGGATTTCTACCTTGGAATCTCAATGATGCTCTGATAACCTTTCAAGAGGAACTGTAATAATAATAATGCAAGAGGAACTGTAATAATAATAATGCAAGAGGAACTGTAATAATAATAATGCACGAGGAACTGTGATAATAATAATGCAAGAGGAACTGTAATAATAATAATGCAAGAGGAACTGTAATAATAATAATGCAAGAGGAACTGTGATAGTTATTGTCTGGGCAAAATGTTGCATCCCAACAAGTCTGGACAAGGACCATGTATCTGTGGATATTCCTTCAATATACCACCCAGTGCACTCACCGTCCATTGCTTGGTGTTTCATCATAGTCAATACGGGTGGCAAGAGTGAGATTGCCTGTATTCGCGTCCACACGAAATGCATTGCTACGTGTGTTTCCAGCTATTATCCTGTATGTGATAACACCAGATGTGTCTTCATTATCACGTGCCTGGAAACAAATAACAGCTTACATACAGGACAACTCTTTGGCCTCATCAAGATTCAGATAAACCGAAACAACTATATATTTCCATTAGTTTGGCTCCTTAGAAATATTATCACCTGAAGAAGTATTTGATCTATTTAGCAGGAAGAGTCTGTACATCTTACATCTGCACCATGTCAGTCTGCTGACAGGGTTAACATCTTAGGTCATATGAACAGGGCAACCAACTTCAGATCAGGAGTTCCATCAGAGGACAATTTTAATGCCACTACATTTACAGAAACAGAAATATATGAATTCTTGATTATTCAACCAGAGCAAAGCACTGCCAAGCCATTTTTCAAAAGAATGGTTGGCAGGTACATACAATCCTTATGTACAACAATGTATGATCCATACGCTCCACTACTAGATGCCACACAGTGTTCAGCTCACATGTGAAATCTTGGGTCAGACTTTTTTAGCCGGACCGCCTCCGTGGTGTAGTGGTAAGAGCGTCTGCCCGGAGAGCGGAAGGTCGTGGGTTCGATCCCCGACCGCGTCATACCAAAAGACGTTAAAATATGGTACTTGTTTGTGCCTGCCTGGCGTTCGGCATTAATGGGTACAACAAGGACTGGTCGGCTCGGAGTCAGTATAATGTGTCTGAGTGGGGTATTCATGCTTCACTGCGGCTTGGTATCTCAGTGGGCTAGCACTATAAAACCAGCTTCAGTCTGGGCTAGTACAAGCAGCTGCACATACACATACACATGCATGCACGTCGTCATATGAGCGAAATATTCTCAAGTACGACGTTAAACCCAATTTCACCTCACCTCACCATTTTTAGCCGAAACTATCAGCACATTTACCTTTACTACTACAGCTGGGCGGAGGATGAGTGACGATTCCTGTGCATATGTCTGATAAACAGCTCTCTCTGGGACTGGAGCTTCATCGTTAATGTTTCCGACTGTGATGGTGAGGGTTCTTGAGGTCTCGCGAGCAGGGTTGCCACCATCTTTAGCATTAACAAGAATTTGAAACACCCTCTGTGTCTCATAGTCCAGTGGTTTGCTCAGACTCAGGGACCCTGTGGTTGGATCCATCAAGAACCTGTAATAGAAGTAACCACAAAGTTGGGCATGGGTTATATATCATGGTGTTGAATCTCTCAGTCAAAGATGAAACATCAAGTATATTATAATCAGGGAAACAACTTGTTTAGTTGTTGCCAGCATTAATGCTTCAAAATTTTAGGGAGGGGCAGTGGGGTAGCCCAGTGGTTACAGCCTTCGCTCTTCATGCCGAAGACCTGGGTTCAATTCCCCGTTTGGGTACAATGTGTGAAGAAACATTTCTGGTGTCCCTTGCCATACTATTGCTGGAATATTGCTAAAAGCGTAGAAAACCTAATTTACTCACTCCCACAGATTGTGGGACAACAGATAGCTGTGTCACTATTACTAATGGTGGAATCACAAAAGCACATCAGAAACCTATGATTGTGCATTTGTCAGCAGCAAACTTGTGGTAAACATCTTGACATGCATCTTGACTTCTGGCTTTCCTCCTGTATTAAATAATGAGGCTGACACCAGTGATACCCAGGTCAAGACATAAATTTGGTCAGATGAGCTCAGTTAGAGGAGCTAAAACTATACTTGATATATCACTGAAAAAAGTTGTATTTATACCTATGTTGTGAGGGAGTTTAGTCTTACGCCACATTAAGCAATATTCCAGCAACATCACAGCGGGGGACACCTGAAATGGGCTTCACACACTGTACCAATGTGGGGAATCGAACCCTAGTCTTCGGCGTGATGAGTGAACGCTTTAACCACTAGGCTACCCCACCACCCCACTGAAGTTGTGAAGCCATTTTGACCATTAAGTTAAATTAAATCACTCTTACTGGTCGTTTCCAGTTCCTCGTAGAGTGTACGTGACATTTCCATTTTCACCTTCATCTCTGTCAATTGCCTAAAAGATACAAAAATTCAAACTGATTTATAATTCTGATAAATTCTGGTACATCTGTAAAAGAAGAGTGCATTGAATTTTACTTTAACCAAATCGATATGTGCAATAAAGAACTTTTCAAATCATGATGTTAATTTGAAATGCTACAAAACTGACAACTGTTGATGTTTCTTACTGGTTGTACAAAGCTGGGAACCAGGGCAGGTGCCCAAGACTATGGAAGCAATACCTGTATTGTAGCAATGGACTGTCCCACTGGTGCATTTTCAGGTAGAGAATAGTTATACTGAGAAGAAGTGAACTGTGGGGAGTTATCGTTCAGATCCTGGAGGAAGATGTTCACAGTTGCTGTGCTGGTTTTGGGATTAGCATCGGACTCGCGAGCTTCAAGCTGATTTAAACAGAACAAATACATCAGGTTAATATTTATTCCACTGATTTTACGTACATGAAAACTACAATTACTCAGAGATAACTGAAAAACATCTAAGTTCAGGGAAACAGCAGAATTTCTGCCGACATTTCGCACTCACAACAACTCTCTGGAATCTCAGGCTTGGTGTGTCGTAATCAAGCAGTTTGGCATCGATGACAAGCAGGTTGACAGCAACATTCCCAGACACTTCATTCTCTGGGAAGATCTTGAATGTGTTTCGTGACTGATTAACTATTACCACAGTGTACTTGGCATTGCTGGGCTGAAACAAACATAAATAAATAAATACTAAGCTAGGAGTTATTCATCAAAAATAAGACTGAATTGAAATTTATCATATATACATTTCAGCAATCATATCAATAATACAAAAGCACAACTTCACACAATTTCGCCTATATTATATATTGGGGCATATGCACTACCTTTAGCTTCCTATTGATGCAATCACACACTTACTATCCCGTACAACTTGCCTTAAATTGATACTCAAAACTTTAAGGCAAACAGCTTCCAAACAGAGAATACTTGCCATATATGGAATGTAAACAGATGCTCCGTACAATAAAACCTGTCACACACAGTGTTGTCGGTGTTTGCTGAACAGGTTTCAATCACAAGTTGCGCGTACATTTTTGTCTATGATTGAGTTCTGCCTCCAAAGGAGTTGTAATCTAAATTATTACTCACCCGTTGAAGATATCACTTAAGAAATACACTTCGCTCTACCACCATATATAGTGTAATAAAACATACTTTTGCCTTGAACTATTATGGTTAAAGCAAGATGACGCTTGCGTCTGAGTGCTTTAACGTTATAATAGTTCAGGGCGAAAGAGTGTTTTATTACACTATACATGGTGGTAGGGCGAACTGTATTTCTTTTCTAAGATGTCAAATTTAATACTTTCTAAGGATAATTACGATTAATTTAAGGCAGAAAACAAACGACGGTGTCTGTGACCTAAATTAAGAATCCTCGCACAGGGCTAACTGGCGCGCTGTTCTATTGATGTGTCTGCCCCCTACGTTAAGACGAACGTTACCAGAACAAAAACAAATCATAACAGTTTGATGACGGTTTACGGTCGGATTAAATATCTTCTCTGAATTATTTTAAATACATCTGGTATTAACATAAACCATATAGGGCAATATGAACGTTGCATTTCTACTACCAACGTAAGTTTAGATCAGTACATCCAGAGGAAGTTGAGTAGTCAAGCGACATTCCCGCGATTGCATTGTGGGAATGTAAACATTGCGAACGTTACCGGGTCGCTGAAAACTGACGAACTCAGACATTTTAACCGTCGTAAAACATAAACGTAATGTTTCCACCAGTGATATTAGCTGGGTGAAGCAACAGCAAACCAAGAAACGGGATGCAACGGTGTAGTTTACTGTAGGAGGCCGTACGAGGCGATGACAACTGACATGCATCGTGACGTCGCTTTCATTGTGACGTAATGTAAAATGGTTCGATTACGAGGGGGCACACTAGAATGGCGCAGTGACGGGATAACGTCATTCAATTGTTACGTCATCAAAAAACTATACCTTTATTGTCTGATAATGTTTTTGTTTTTTTCGATTGTTCTAACCGCTAGGCATCTTAGAATGTTTAATAATTTAAAAATGTTATTACACATTGTGTAATAACTTCACGTGGTGCCGTATGATGTAAAACTGGTTTACAGTTATCACGTCACAATGCTAATACCTCTGTCACAATAATATTAGACCTTGCTTGACTTGTGAAAAGCTGAGAGTCATCACACTTGTTGAATTCTTTGGAAAGAAGTACTTTTCTCGATATTATTTTGCTAATGTTGGGCGAATAATAAATAAAATACTAAACTATGACCCGTGTAATACCATATTTATGAAACTCGTGAATGGTATTGGTATCTAACTCGCTTTCGCTCATTAGATACCAAACCACTCATTCGTTTCATAAATATGGTATTACACGGGGATATCATTTAGTATTCTCTGTTACTTAATTTTTTTCGAATAAATCATATGGTAGCTTCCCTGAGGTCTGATAGTTAGTATTATACAGAGAAATGCATTATTCATTTTTAGAGAAGTGAGGTGTGAAATAGTGCCATTAAAAGTAAATGTATTCCAGTGATAACTCACATCATCCTTGTCTGTAACCTGTATGTCGAGGTCAGGGATCTGGAAGTTGCTCTGTGCGTTACTGTCTATCTCCGCAAGAGTGACATTGTACACTGATTGAGAGAATGAGGGAATGTTGTCATTTTCATCTAGGACGTCCACTTGAACAAAGGAGTCTTGCCTTGCATTTGTTTCTGTTCCATTGTCTAGTTCCACAGCCTACATGAAACACACAAAGTCGAGATTGATAGGGAGTATCATGCTTTTGGAAAGATAATATTACGACTAATTCTAAATGCTGGGCTGAGATATTAAAAGCATGTTAAATTATAAACCATCACTAAGAAGCTTTGATAAATTATTAGTCCCAAGTGGATGAATGGTCTTGAGAATTGCTGAAATGAACATGTGCAAATATCAAGAAGTTGTCACACGTAATCATCCCTTCCTGGCAAAAAATAAAAAAATTACCTTTCATGAATTGGTAGGATGCATTATGTTCTCTTGTGAAAGAATCACATATATTCATAAACAAAGCCTAAACAAATATATGATCTTTGTAGCAATAACTATGCATGATGTTATTTTTATGAAAATTCATTGCACTGAGTGATAATTGTTTTTAGGGTATGCAAAGGTTCTCCACTAGGATATAAAATATTTTGTGTCATAAAGGTAAATTTAACAGATTATATTCAAAACAGAAATAGAAACTGTGGTACTCAATCAAGAGATCCAAATATTAACAAAGATTGTAATAATTAGCATGACTAAACTAGAATATAGAAGCAATGTTTCAACATTGTATCACAATGGTCATCTTTATACAGTAGGGAACCCAAAATGATAACAACAGTTTCTAAATATCTTTTAAGAATAATTCCTTTCATATATGAAATGACATTACAATGATCCAAAGAGATGTGAATACTGCCTGGTCTACCAACAGCTTCACTGTTTGTTTAACCTGCTCACCTCAACTTCGAACCTGTATGTGCCAAGTAGGGTCTCTCGATCAATGGGTGCATTGACAATGACAGCAGCACGGTAGATACTGCTGTCATCAGGGTCCGGCAGTGATGGCCCGAGACGAAACAAGCCAAGAGTATCTGCAACACAAGACTCTCAATATCAACAACAAACCACCAGTATCCATAACACAGGATTCTCAATATCAACAACAAACCAACAGTATCTGCAACACAAGACTCTCAATATCAACAACAAACCAACAGTATCTGCAATACAATTTAAAATAATAACTATTGGTCATGTATTGATTTATTATCATGTTTTACAGATTAAAGATCGTATGCAGCAGAGAGGGTTCGGGTGATCCTGGCACAGTCAGGCTGGTAAGGCTCATCATCAGTTCAGGGCCCTTGCCCCCTCTACACGCAGCCCAGACAGCGAATGGGACTTCTCCCAGGAAACGCTGCCTAGTCGAACCCACCAAGAACTTTCCGGAGAATATGAAGGCTCCCCAACAGTGCAGCCTTCTGCATTACCCAAAGTGTCAGAAGGGCTGTCCTCGCGGTGGAGAACCCGGGCACTCTCCTGATCTGCGCCAAGAGATCAGGAGGTACCAAACCCAGGGCACCAAGAACAATGGGGAGCCTGACGACAGTGTACTTGGGATGCAAGCGAGACATTTCAAAGGCGAGGTCCGCATATTTATCATGCTTTTCCTTAATCTTGCCAATCACATTGGTGTCAAAAGGGACAGAAAATTCTATGATAAAAATAAATTCATTGGCTTTATCAAAAAGGACAAGATCAGGTTTGTTGGCTGGATTTTTCTGAGGCTGTATATGGGCCTATTCCACATAAGTTTGAAAGCATCATTTTCCATGACGCCCTGGACATGTTCAGGGTCGTACCATGGATGGACCTCGGAGTCAAAGCCACAGGCATGTCGGAGACGGTAGTAAAAGCAACGAGCCATGCCATCATGTCGTTTATGATATGATGTTTGTGCCAAGGAAGGGCATCCACTGACAAGGTGTTGGACAGTCTCCATGAATTCATTGCAAAGTCGACATTTCATATTGATATTTTCTTTAAGAGTCACATTTAGGCGATTGCGAGTGGGAAGTGACTGGTCCTGAGCAGCAAAAAGGAAGCCCTCAGTTTCACATTTAAGACCAGCCGACTTCATCCAGGCGAAGGAGTCGGTGGGATTGCTATTCTGTTCAACACACTGCATGTACACACGATGCAATGGCTTCTCAGAAAGCTTCTCCACAAAAGACCGACTCTGGGGAGACTTGGTGAAGGACTTCACCTGGTTTACTCCCATCACTGTACCGTCCAGCAGTACATCGCCATCAACAAAATCAACCTCAAATTTCAGATTCTGTCCAACTACCTTGGCATGCTTAAAATAACTGTGGAATTCCTTGCTTTCATCATGAGTCTTCACATGCATCACCAGAGGATCATCTAATAAATAAATATGTGCAAAAGTACACAATAAAATTCTATCATGAAGACCCTCCACATTAATCAAACCCCGACCTCCAGAATTGATTGGCATATATACACGGTTAAGAGAGGAACGAGGGTGGTGGGCTCTGTTATTAGACATGATCCTTCTGGTCAGACGGTCAAGACTCTGGATGTCTTGTTTTGTCCATTCAACTACTCCAAAGGAATAGGAAAGGACTGGCACAGCAAATGTATTGGTGGCTTTGACCTTGTATCGAGCATTTAGCTCTGATGTCCAGATTTTCTTTAAGCGAGATTTATACTCGGCCCGAAGTTTGTCTTGAATCTGGGCATTCTGGAGCTTGTCTCGAACTTGCATTCCAAGATAGGTGTAGGCCTGATCTTCCACAAAATGCTCAATAACTCCTCCCCCTTGGGGTATTATTATTATTATTATTATTATTATTATAATAGGATATTTATATAGCGCACATATCCACGCACTAGTGCATGCTCAAGGCGCTGGTATTTTTCCCCTCGCTCATAGGATGTCAATCTCAACGGCACATCGCATTATCAATCTCAACTCCCTGGGGAGTATACAACTCTTGCAGCCACTAGGCTCCTTTCACAGCTGGGTGGACTGGGACACATAGTCACAGTACTTTGTCCATGTTCACTGCACTTTGCTGTACCCGTAACTAGGTGTTTGCACGTATTCATGTGGCCACCATCTGGTCAAATACCAACGGATTCGTTGGTTCTTTTAAGTGCACAGGGCTGTGTACTGTACACTAGGGATTGTGACAACACTGAAAGAGTCTGCACACAAAGTTGACACCAAGGTTTTTACACCCGGTCACAGGTGGGCTCGATCCCGACACCTCAACCTTGCTGGATCATTAGCCTTGAGCCCTAGCCAGCTGGCCCACCGCAGCCTGATTGTTCATTACCTCCCTCAGCAACATTAAACTATACGTAAAACAAGTACTTACCATTCTTTATCTTAATCTTCACTGGTCTGGAACTACCCTGATCTCCATCACGGGCACCAATTTTCAGCTGTACAGATGTGTTCTGGAGAAACAACAATTAAGCCACATAGTATCCAATATATTCATATCCATATATCAGTGGGTGTATCAGTGAGTGTGCCAATATACGCATGAGTTGGTGTGCCAGTGGATCTGATAGTGGGTGTATCAGTGGATCTGATAGTGGGTGTATCAGTGGATCTGATAGTGGGTGTATCAGTGGATCTGATAGTGGGTGTATCAGTGGATCTGATAGTGGGTGTATGAGTGGGTCTGATAGTGGGTGTATCAGTGGATCTGATAGTGGGTGTATCAGTGGATCTGATAGTGGGTGTATCAGTGGATCTGATAGTGGGTGTATCAGTGGATCTGATAGTGGGTGTATCAGTGGGTCTGATAGTGTGTGTATCAGTGGGTCTGATAGTGTGTGTATCAGTGGGTCTGATAGTGTGTGTATCAGTGGATCTGATAGTGTGTGTATCAGTGAATCTGATAGTGGGTGCGTCAGTGGGTGTATCAGTGGTTCTGATAGTGGGTGCATCAGTGGATCTGATAATGGGTGTATCAGAGGATCTGATAGTGGGTGTATCAGTGGATCTGATAGTGGGTGTATCAGTGGATCTGATAGTGGGTGTATCAGTGGATCTGATAGTGGGTGTATCAGTGGATCTTATAGTGGGTGTATCAGTGGGTGTGATAGTGGGTGCATCAGTGGATCTGATAATGGGTGTATCAGCGGATCTGATAGTGGGTGTATCAGTGGGTGTATCTGTGGATCTGATAGTGGGTGTATCAGTGGTTCTGATAGTGGGTGTATCAGTGGGTCTGATAGTGGGTGTATCAGTGGATCTGATAATGGGTGTATCAGTGGATCTGATAGTGGGTGTATCAGTGGGTCTGATAGTGGGTGTATCAGTGGGTCTGATAGTGGGTGTATCAGTGGATCTGATAGTGGGTGTATCAGTGGGTGTATCAGTGGATCTGATAGTGGGTGTATCAGTGGGTCTGATAGTGGGTGTATCAGTGGATCTGATAGTGGGTGTATCAGTGGGTCTGATAGTGGGTGTATCAGTGGGTCTGATAGTGGGTGTATCAGTGGATCTGATAGTGGGTGTATCAGTGGATCTGATATTGGGTGTATCAGTGGATCTGATAGTGGGTGTATCAGTGGATCTGATAGTGGGTGTATCAGTGGGTCTGATAGTGTGTGTATCAGTGGGTCTGATAGTGTGTGTATCAGTGGATTTGATAGTGGGTGTATCAGTGAATCTGATAGTGTGTGTATCAGGGTGGGTGTATCAGTGGATCTGATAGTGGGTGTATCAGTGGATCTTATAGTGGGTGTATCAGTGGGTGTGATAGTGGGTGCATCAGTGGATCTGATAATCGGTGTATCAGCGGATCTGATAGTGGGTGTATCAGTGGGTGTATCTGTGGATCTGATAGTGGGTGTATCAGTGGTTCTGATAGTGGGTGTATCAGTGGATCTGATAGTGGGTGTATCAGTGGATCTGATAGTGGGTGTATCAGTGGATCTGATAGTGGGTGTATCAGTGGGTCTGATAGTGGGTGTATCAGTGGGTCTGATAGTGGGTGTATCAGTGGGTCTGATAGTGGGTGTATCAGTGGATCTGATAGTGGGTGTATCAGTGGATCTGATAGTGGGTGTATCAGTGGATCTGATAGTGGGTGTATCAGTGGGTCTGATAGTGGGTGTATCAGTGGGTCTGATAGTGTGTGTATCAGTGGATCTGATAGTGGGTGTATCAGTGAATCTGATAGTGGGTGCGTCAGTGGGTGTATCAGTGGGTCTGATAGTGGGTGCATCAGTGGATCTGAAAATGGGTGTATCAGTGGATCTGATAGTGGGTGTATCAGTGGATCTGATAGTGGCTGTATCAGTGAATCTGATAGTGGGTGCGTCAGTGGGTGTATCAGTGGGTCTGATAGTGGGTGCATCAGTGGATCTGATAATGGGTGTATCAGTGGATCTGATAGTGGGTGTATCAGTGGATCTGATAGTGGGTGTATCAGTGGATCTGATAGTGGGTGTATCAGTGGATCTGATAGTGGGTGTATCAGTGGGTGTGATAGTGGGTGCATCAGTGGATCTGATAATGGGTATATCAGCGGATCTGATAGTGGGTGTATCAGTGAATCTGACAGTGGGTGTATCAGTGGGTGTATCTGTGGATCTGATAGTGGGTGTATCAGTGGGTCTGATAGTGGGTGTATCAGTGGGTGTGTCAGTGGATCTGATAGTGGGTGTATCAGTGGGTCTGATAGTGGGTGTATCAGTGGATCTGATAATGGGTGTATCAGTGGATCTGATAGTGGGTGTATCAGTGGGTCTGATAGTGGGTGTATCAGTGGGTGCATCACTGGATCTGATAGTGGGTGTATCAGTGGATATGATAGTGGGTGTATCAGTGGATCTGATAGTGGGTGTATCAGTGGGTCTGATAGTGGGTGTATCAGTGGATCTGATAGTGGGTGTATCAGTGGATCTGATAGTGGGTGTATCAGTAGGTGCATCAGTGGATATGATAGTGGGTGTATCAGTGGGTCTGATAGTGGGTGTATCAGTGGATCTGATAGTGGGTGTATCAGTGGATCTGATAGTGGGTGTATCAGTGGGTCTGATAGTGGGTGTATCAGTGGATCTGATAGTGGGTGCATCAGGGAATCTGATAGTGGGTGTATCAGTGAATCTGATAGTGGGTGTATCAGTGGGTGTATCAGTGGATCTAATAGAGGTTGTATCAGTGGGTGTATCAGTGAATCTGATATTGGGTGTATCAGTAGATGCGCCAGTGGATCTGATAGTGGGTGTATCAGTGGAAATCATAGTGGGTGTATCAGTGGGTATATCTGTGGATCTAATAGTGGGTGTGTCAGTGGGTGTATTAGTGGATTTTATAGTGGGTGAATTGATCAGTGAGTGTATCAGTGGGTGTTCCAAAGGATCTGATAGTGGGTGTGCCAGTGGATCTGATAGTGGATGTATCAGTGGGTGTATCAGTGGATCTGATAGTGGGTGTGTCAGTGAATCTGATAGTGGGTGTATCAGTGGGTCTGATAGTGGGTGTATCACTGGATCTGATAGTGGGTGTATCAGTGGCTCTGACAGTGGGTGTATCAGTGGATCTGATAGTGGGTGTATCAGTGGATCTGATAGTGGCTGTATCAGTGAATCTGATAGTTGGTGCATCAGTGGGTGTATCAGTGGATCTGATAGTGGGTGTATCAGTGGGTGCATGAGTGGGTGTGCCAGTGGATCTGATAGTGGGTGTATCAGTGGGTGTGTCTGTGGATCTAATAGTGGGTGTATCAGTGGATCTGATAGTGGTGTGTATCAGTGAATCTGATAGTGGGTGCGTCAGTGGGTGTATCAATGGATCTTATAGTGGGTGTATTAGTGGGTGTATCAGTGAGTGTATCAGTGGATCTTATAGAGGGTGTATCAGTGGGTGCATGAATGGGTGTGCCAGTGGATCTAATAGTGGGTGTGTAAGTGGGTGTGTCTGTGGATCTAATAGTGGGTGTATCAGTGGTTGTATCAGTGGGTGTATCGGTGGGTGTATCAGTGGGTGTATCAGTGGATCTCATAGTGGGTGTATCAGTGGATCTTATAGTGGGTGTATCAGTGGGTGCATGAGTGGGTGTGCCAGTGGATCTGATACTGGGTGTATAAGTGGGTGTGTCTTTGGATCTAATAGTGGGTGTGTCAGTGGGTGTATCAGTGGATCTAATAGTGGGTGTGTCAGTGGGTGTATCAGTGGATCTGATAGTGGGTGTATCAGTGGGTGTATCAGTGGATTTTATAGTGGGTGTATCAGTGGTTGTATCAGTGGGTGTATCAATGGATATAATAGTGGGTGTATCAGTGGGTGTATCAGTGGATCTGATAGTGGGTGTATCAGTGGATGTGCCAGTGGATCTGATAGTGGGTGTATCAGTGGATCTCATAGTGGGTGTATCAGTGGGTATATCTGTGGATCTAATAGTGGGTGTGTCAGTGGGTGTATCAGTGGATCTTATAGTGGGTGAATTGATCAGTGAGTGTATCAGTGGGTGTTCCAAAGGATCTGATAGTGGATCTGATAGTGGGTGTGACAGTGGATCTGATAGTGGATGTATCAGTGGGTGTATCAGTGGCTCTGATAGTGGGTGTGTCAGTGAGTGTGTCTGTGGATCTAATAGTGGGTGTGTCAGTGGGTGTATCAGTGGATCTAATAGTGGGTGTGTCAGTGGGTGTATCAGTGGATCTTATAGTGGGTGTATCAGTGGTTGTATCAGTGGGTGTATCAGTGGATCTAATAGTGGGTGTATCAGTGGGTGTATCAGTGGATCTGATAGTGGGTGTATCAGTGGGTGTGTCTGTGGATCTAATAGTGGGTGTGCCAGTGGGTGTATCAGTGGATCTGATAGTGGGTGTATCAGTGGATGTGCCAGTGGATCTGATAGTGGATGTATCAGTGGATCTCATAGTGGGTGTATCAGTGGGTATATCTGTGGATCTAATAGTAGGTGTGTCAGTGGGTGTATCAGTGGATCTTATAGAGGGTGAATTGATCAGTGAGTGTATCAGTGGGTGTTCCAAAGGATCTGATAGTGGGTGTGACAGTGGATCTGATAGTGGATGTATCAGTGGGTGTATCAGCGGCTCTGATAGTGGGTGTATCAGTGAGTGTGACTGTGGATCTAATAGTGGGTGTGTCAGTGGGTGTATCAGTGGATCTTATAGTGGGTGTATTGATTAGTGAGTGTATCAGTGGGTGTTCCAAAGGATCTGATAGTGGGTGTGACAGTGGATCTGATAGTGGATGTATCAGTGGGTGTATCAGTGGATCTCATAGTGGGTGTATCAGTGGGTGTATCAATGGATATAATAGTGGGTGTATCAGTGGGTGTATCAGTGGATCTGATAGTGGGTGTATCAGTTGATGTGCCAGTGGATCTGATAGTGGGTGTATCAGTGGATCTCATAGTGGGTGTATCAGTGGGTATATCTGTGGATCTAATAGTGGGTGTGTCAGTGGGTGTATCAGTGGATCTTATAGTGGGTGAATTGATCAGTGAGTGTATCAGTTGGTGTGCCAAAGGATCTGATAGTGGGTGTGACAGTGGATCTGATAGTGGATGTATCAGTGGGTGTATCAGTGGCTCTGATAGTGGGTGTGTCAGTGAGTGTGTCTGTGGATCTAACAGTGGGTGTGTCAGTGGGTGTATCAGTGGATCTGATAGTGGGTGTATTGATCAGTGAGTGTATCAGTGGGTGCATCAGTGGATCTGATAGTGGGTGTGTCAGTGGGTGTTCCAAAGGATATTATGGTGGGTATATCAAAGGATCTGATGGTGGGTTATCAGTGGATCTGATAGTGGGTGTTCCAAAGGATCTTATGGTAGGTGTATCACTGGGTGTATCAATGGGTGTATCAGTGGATCTGATTGTGGGTGTGCCAGTGGATGTGATAGTGGATCGGATAGTGGGTGTATCAGTGGATGTATCAGTGGGTGTGCCAGTGGGTGTGCCAGTGAGTGTGCCAGTTGACTGGCAGGGACACCAAGATGGCTTCTCACACCTTATCAATATTCGGAATCAAACCAATATTTTCACTGTGACAAGGAAACACTTCAACCACATGACCACACCACCAGCCACATAAGGCCTGAAATGTTCTAAATAGTTTTCTTTTGGCATAACTAGGATAAAATTTAGTATGATATTGCATGTGAGAGTGATTCACTGATTAACTGAGGTTTAACAATATTTCTAGTATCACTTCTGAAAGACCAGAAATGAGCTTCACATATTGTTACCATATAGGGAATCAAACCCAAGTCTTCAGGGTGGTGAGAAACCCTTTATCTGCTAGGCTATCCTACTGGCCTGTATGACAGTGAACATATATTCAATGAAGATCACACATTTACACTTAGTATATATATCAACTCACCAGCGGAACATTTTCTCTGACATAGATCGTGAGAGGAACATTGACAAACTCAGGTAGAGTGTCCTGGGCATCTATCACGTTGATCAGCACATTGACAGAGGTGGTCAAAGCAGGCGTTCCTAAATCCTGGAAGCAGAAAGGTACTTATAGTAATATAGTAGTATAGCACAACAGGAGTACGTCATCTCCCAATCACTGACAAATTTACCAGTTTTTTTATTAATGTAGTATCTTTGTGATTTCAAATCATAGCTAAATTTTCCTACAATCGCCAGCAGCTGAAGGGATTGTGTAAATCCAGATTGGGTCCTTACAGGTAGCAAAAGTACTGTAAGTCCCCATGGTCCCTGGTATGGTGATCTACCATCAGTTGTTGGAGATCTATAGCCCATATTTTTCAAGTTAAATGCTAGTTTTAATACCTGAAATTGTGATATTCTAGTTGTTTTAATCTCCTTTGTCGAGAGACTTATATTATCTATTGTTTACATATTAACTGTTTTAGTCACGATATGGCTGAAATATTGCCGATGTGACTATAAATTTTAACTCACTCACTCACTTACTCACAATGACTGCCAAAAATCACAATTCCTCACAGCTAATAGTGTAAAAATTAAGCAGAATTGTGTGTGTGTGTGTGCGAGTGTGCATAAGTGTGCATGTGTGTGTGTCAGTGTGTCTGTGTCTGTCGTGCATGTGTGTTTATAAATCATGTGACTACTTGTAACCAAATCAACATAAGTGAACTTAACATTCGAACAATTAGGGTGTATAAACCCGTTCACGGTATGCAACAACAGATTCCACACATCATGCTTACCACTGCCTTCAGAGTCATGGTGTAACTTCTTCGAGATTCAAAGTCAAGTTGTCTTTGTAGAACTATGGACGAACTGTATGTCCCTGGCCCAGTCAAGGCCGTTTCCACAGTAAATATTTCACACGTTGCCTGCGACTGGAAAAATATTTTTAACCATGATCACATAACATATCACACAATTTACACAACCTACCAGTATATCATATACATATACAGAACATTGGTGAGAACTCATTAATTAACTCTTCTTACAATTAGATCTTGACCTTCCAGCAGGGTACAGATTGATTGATGTCAGGGATGTCAACCCATAAGCCTTTGTCTAAGAAATGCCCACCAACCACAAGACTGCCCCACACATTGTTCCCACCCCTCTTCCAGTCTGCTCCACTACCTCCCCCAACCAATGACTGCCCCACACATTATTCCCTTCCCTCTTCCAGTCTGCTCCACTACCTCCCCCAACCAATGACAGCCCCACACATTATTCCCTTCCCTCTTCCAGTCTGCTCCACTACCTCCCCCAACCAATGACAGCCCCACACATTATTCCCTCCCCTCTTCCAGTCTGCTCCACTACCTCCCCAACCAATGACAGCCCCACACATTATTCCCTCCCCTCTTCCAGTCTGCTCCACTACCTAATGACAGCCCCACACATTATTACCTCCTCCTCTTCCAGTCTGCTCCACTAGCTCCCCAACCAATGACTGCCCCCACATTATTACCTCCCTCTTCCAGTCTGCTCCACTAGTTCCCCAACCAATGACTGCCCACACATTATTCCCTCCCCTCTTCCAGTCTGCTCCACTACCTCCCCACCAATGACTGGCTGCCCACACATTATTCCCTCCCCTCTTCCAGTCTGCTCCACTACCTCCCCAACCAATGACTGCCCCCACACATTATTCCCTCCCCTCTTCCAGTCTGCTCCACTACCTCCCCAACCAATGACTGCCCCACACATTATTCCCTCCCCTCTTCCAGTCTGCTCCACTACCTCCCCAACCAATGACAGCCCCACACATTATTCCCTCCCCTCTTCCAGTCTGCTCCACTACCTCCCCAACCAATGACTGCCCCACACATTATTCCCTCCCTCTTCCAGTCTGCTCCACTACCTCCCCCAACCAATGACTGCCCCACACATTATTCCCTCCCCTCTTCCAGTCTGCTCCACTACCTCCCCCAACCAATGACAGCCCCACACATTATTCCCTCCCCTCTTCCAGTCTGCTCCACTACCTCCCCAACCAATGACAGCCCCACACATTATTCCCTCCCTTCTTCCAGTCTGCTCCACTACCTTCCCCAACCAATGACAGTCCCACACATTATTCCCTCCCTTCTTCCAGTCTGCTCCACTACCTCCCCAACCAATGACTGCCCCACACATTATTCCTCCCTTCTTCCAGTCTGCTCCACTACCTCCCCCAACCAATGACAGCCCCACACATCATTCCCTCCCCTCTTCCAGTCTGCTCCACTACCTCCCCAACCAATGACAGCCCCACACATTATTCCCTCCCCTCTTCCAGTCTGCTCCACTACCTCCCCAACCAATGACTGCCCCACACATTATTACCTCCCCTCTTCCAGTCTGCTCCACTACCTCCCCAACCAATGACTGCCCCACACATTATTACCTCCCTCTTCCAGTCTGCTCCACTACCTCCCCCAACCAATGACTGCCCCACACATTATTCCCTCTCCTCTTCCAGTCTGCTCCACTACCTTCCCCAACCAATGACAGCCCCACACATTATTACCACTCAATTCTTCTTCCAGTCTGCTCCACTACCTCCCCCAACCAATGACTGCCCACATTATTACCTCCCCTCTTCCAGTCTGCTCCACTACCTCCCCAACCAATGACTGCCCACACATTATTACCTCCCCTCTTCCAGTCTGCTCCACTACCTCCCCAACCAATGACTGCCCCACACATTATTACCTCCCCTCTTCCAGTCTGCTCCACCACCTCCCCCTGACAGCCCCACACATTATTCCTCCCTCTTCCAGTCTGCTCCACTACCTCCCAATGACAGCCCCACACATTATTACCTCCCTCTTCCAGTCTGCTCCACTACCTCCCCCAACCAATGACTGCCCCCTGCCCCCCTCTTCCAGTCTGCTCCACTACCTCCCCAACCAATGACAGCCCCACACATTATTCCCTCCCTTCTTCCAGTCTGCTCCACTACCTCCCCAACCAATGACAGCCCCACACATTATTCTCCTCTCCTCTTCCAGTCTGCTCCACTACCTCCCCAACCAATGACAGTCCCACACATTATTACCTCCCTCTTCCAGTCTGCTCCACTACCTCCCCAACCAATGACTGCCCCCACACATTATTCCTCCCCTCTTCCAGTCTGCTCCACTACCTCCCCAACCAATGACTGCCCCACACATTATTACCTCCCCTCTTCCAGTCTGCTCCACTACCTCCCCAACCAATGACTGCCCCACACATTATTACCTCCCCTCTTCCAGTCTGCTCCACTACCTCCCCAACCAATGACTGCCCCACACATTATTACCTCCCCTCTTCCAGTCTGCTCCACTACCTCCCCAACCAATGACTGCCCCACACATTATTACCTCCCCTCTTCCAGTCTGCTCCACTACCTCCCCCAACCAATGACTGCCCCACATTATTCCCTCCCCTCTTCCAGTCTGCTCCACTACCTCCCCAACCAATGACAGCCTCCACATTATTACCTCCCTCTTCCAGTCTGCTCCACTACCTCCCCCAACCAATGACTGCCCACACATTATTCCTCCCTCTTCCAGTCTGCTCCACTACCTCCCCAACCAATGACTGCCCCACACATTATTGCCTCCCCCTCTTCCAGTCTGCTCCACTACCTCCCCCAACCAATGACTGCCCCACACATTATTACCTCCCTCTTCCAGTCTGCTCCACTACCTCCCCAACCAATGACTGCCCCACACATTATTACCTCCCCTCTTCCAGTCTGCTCCACTACCTCCCCCAACCAATGACTGCCCCACACATTATTCCCTCCCTCTTCCAGTCTGCTCCACTACCTCCCCAACCAATGACTGCCCCACACATTATTACCTCCCTCTTCCAGTCTGCTCCACTACCTCCCCCACCAATGACTGCCCCACACATTATTCCCCTCCTCCCTCTTCCAGTCTGCTCCACTCTTAGTCCTCCCTACCTCCCCAACCAATGACAGTCCCACAGCCATTGTTCCTCTCCTCACAGTCTATCCACTACCTCCCCAACCAATGACAGTCCACACTATAACCTCCCCTCTTCCAGTCTGCTCCACTACCTCCCCACCAATGACTGCCCCACATCATTCCCTCCCTCTTCCAGTCTGCTCCTGCCTCCCCACCAATGACTGCCCCACATTATGCCCTCCTCTTCCAGTCTGCTGACTGCCCCACAACCATGACTGCCCCCTCCTCTTCCAGTCTGCTCCACTCCCCAACCAATGACTGCCCCACACATTATTCCCTCTCCTCTTCCAGTCTGCTCCACTACCTTCCCCAACCAATGACAGCCATTATTACCTCCCCTCTTCCAGTCTGCTCCACTAGCTCCCCAACCAATGACTGCCCCCACACATTATTACCTCCTCTCTTCCAGTCTGCTCCACTACCTCCCCAACCAATGACTGCCCCACACATTATTCCCTCCCTCTTCCAGTCTGCTCCACTACCTCCCCAACCAATGACTGCCCCCACATTATTCCCTCCCCTCTTCCAGTCTGCTCCACTACCTCCCCCCAATGACTGCCCCACACATTATTCCCTCCCTCTTCCAGTCTGCTCCACTACCTCCCCAACCAATGACTGCCCCACACATTATTCCCTCCCTCTTCCAGTCTGCTCCACTACCTCCCCAACCAATGACTGCCCCACACATTATTCCCTCCCCTCTTCCAGTCTACTCCACTAGCTCCCCAACCAATGACTGCCCCACACATTATTCCCTCCCCTCTTCCAGTCTGCTCCACTAGTTCCCCAACCAATGACTGCCCCACACATCATTCCCTCCCCTCTTCCAGTCTGCTCCACTACCTTCCCCAACCAATGACTGCCCCACTTATTATTCCCCTCATCACAAGTGACTAACCTCAGCATCACTTGAGGAACAGGCGACGGTCACTCGGGCATTATCTGCAGCATCTTCATCCCGTATCGATATCCCGGTGAATATGGCGTTCCAGTAGCAACATTCTGGAGACCAAAGTCAATGAATCTGTTATGAAGGAGCTACCAAACATACATACATGACATACAACTAAGAATTACCACACATTTTTATTTGTTTTTATATTTGTTTCTAGTTAGGGATTTTATTTTCTAAAATGGTCATACCCTCTAACTACAAATATGATAACTTAACCAATGATTGCAGTTGTTCAATCTACATGGTAAACTATTTTACATGGAAGACCTTATGATTCAATATTTCCTCGAATGATAATCTGTAAGGTTGTGATACTTACCTCGTTCACCTTCATGCTGTAGGGGCCATTGAGAAACTCAGGGGCTTTATCATTCACATCAGTCAATGTGATGTCAATCTCTACTGTTGCCTGCAAATATGGGAGAGACATTTCATATATGTTAAAAGGGATCAAAAACCAACCCCACATTTCATATTAGGACCATAGCACTAGGAAAAGCCCATATGTCAAAGCATAGCAGGCCCTGTATCCCAAAACATTCATGGTGCAAAGACTACCAAAATGGAATGACCAAAATGCAACAAGAAATTGACACAGTTTCCACAGACACACAAAAGTTATCATTCACTGTGCGTCCTGAAAAAGCATGAGCGGTAGGTTCAAAATAGACTGTTAGTTTGGGATCACATTACAAGTGTAAAACACACGTCAAACAAACTACATACAAAAATTCCAGTATTCTGACAGATGGTTTAACTCACTGTTAGGCCCCTCCCATCCCAGCAACTAAACACTGGTTTGAGCAGTCGAGCATTCTCTCCAGTTGGATTGTTCTCAAATTCTTTCAAATAGTTCTGAAAGTCAAACATAATATTTTTTAATATGAATCTGTTCTCAAACAAGAGATTGACACTGCTTGGCATACTTGATGAATGACTACTTTAAGAACAATACCACAACGGAGCCATGGAACATTCTTCTACTTCGCATTTATAAAGATACAAGAATATTTTACATTCAGACAATCTCTATCTATAAATGAAACAATAATATTGGTACATAATACACTCATGAAATTCAGAAAAGAAATTTCTGTGAAGTGTGACAGTGAAATTTAAGTTCAGATATTTTCATGCTGCGACTATTATATAATCTATCCTGGCTCAAACACTTCCAAGAGTCATTCAGGAGCATGTCAACCATTTGGTCAAGATCTACAACAACCTGTGCAGAGTTGTGTCCCTTGACCTTACCAGAAGCACATCCCAGATTTTGCCGCTGGTTTGTCATGGTAACGACTGCCATACCCTGAATCACACTGTGTTTCCTCCATTCACAACTGAAATACTGTCAGAGGCAGTACACCATCAGCAACTCCAGAGTGTCACAATAAATACGTCATAATGCCAATAAATTAGTAAATAGGTCCTACCTCTCTGTCCAAGAGCCGGTTAACGGTGACCTCGCCTGTTGCCTCATTCACCTCCAGTGTCTGACTCTGTACCCCATAGCCCACAATTGGGTCCCCATCATCATCTTTGCATGACAGCGTCCCCACACTAGTGCCTGTAACAAAATGTAAAGTTGAACAAAACTACTATAACACTTGGGTGTTCATGTTTAACCAAAATGTCCCTGATGAATACTTCACTGAATCTAAATGAGTGCTGTACAATAGAGCACTCATGTAACCCTTACCTTGTATTAAACCTCCTATGATCTTACCAAGTGTGTGAGTGAAAGGTTGCAGTGCTCTCTGCAATAACTCATGGGCATCAAGTCATGGGAGACAAAAAACAATCTTCAAACATCCTGCACTGAATACAACTATGATGATGTCATCGTACTACTGTTTTCAGATTTGAACAAGGCTTTTCTGAATTTTCATTTTAAAGAAATAAAAATGAAAAATTTTAATGAAATTCCATATACATGGAAAAAAGTATTGCAACACACCCTATTTTTCACAGTATTAATATGTTAACATTAAACACAACAAGAGAACTTACCCAAACCTTAGACTCCCTAACCTCACTACTACTATCCTTATTGACTGCATTAGGCTTTGAATTTGGTGTTTTTAATTTGAGTTGCAATACTATTGTCTATGTGTATATATATCAACCATAACATGGTTTAAGTCAGAGAATTACCTTGAAACAGCATAAATCATCATATTATCATGACATTCCTGTCATGGAGTCATGCCTTGGACTTTGGTAGACTTGTCAATTTATTAACCAGCATGTCTGACTAAAGCAAATATCATATGCTAATAATCATGTAATATAAGAAATATTCCCAATCGACAAGTAGAAATCAACATTATTATTCTGTGTTCATTTCTGAACCACTACAAAAATACTGCACTGAAGTTTGCTGAATGAAAAGTACATTTTATACTAAAGCACAATACGAACTGTTTCAATTCAATTCATAACTTCAAAATTAAAATACAATCAACAATACCTAAAAATTAGTATTTAGCAAACCATGCTTTAGGGTACTATGTAACTATGCCACTATAAATATTAAAACCATTTCACGTCACCTTTGTAGACATCAGTTGTATCGATGTATGATGTAAAGATGTGACATTCTTTTCCTCTCAGAGAGAAAGACTCTCAGTCATTACACTTACAAACAAAATATCATCATGAACATGTCAACAGATATCCAGATAGCTTACCTATTGCTGTGTTTTCCAAGATACCTTGCTTGGTGAGCCGATCAAGAAGGTTACCATCTACGTTTTGACCATTTTCGTTCGTAACGAAATAGGGAGCAGAGTTGACTGGAACAAAAAAAGTGAGTCTGTAAATAATAACGAAAGATGAAGATTGAGGCATAGTTTCAAGTAAAATATTGTTCCATCATGACATCATTCTGCAGATCCAAACAAGTGCTTGCAAGCCCACAATATCATTCAGTGGACCATGCTGCTTTTGAGGTAGTACATATGTGTTTGTGAGACCATCAAAGATTAGCCAAACTCCCTTGTTCAATAAATGGACTTGTCCACCATTGCTAAGATCAGATCAGTGATCTATATGTAAATACAAGTAAATATTATAAAGCTTGTAAATTTCATTAAGATTTTTCCTTCTGTGTCAGTGTTGTTATTGTATTACATTGTTTAGGTTAAGATTCCGTGCAGGGCAAGTCGCTCTATTTTGAAGTTTTTTTATGCCAAGGGTGGCATGGAAACTTCTAAATTGCATAGACCTATCTAGCTTAGAAAAACCTTTCTTGGAGCTTTTTAAAACTGATATTAAAGGAGTGAGGTATGCCTCCATCATGTCACATTGCACGCACACACGCACACACGCACACACACACACACATGTGCATGCAAACATATACATGCACACACAAGCAAACTCTTTAACCATTGGGCTACCCCACCGCCCCCTAATGTCTACAGGGTGAAAGCCCAGGTAAACAATTAGTTTTTAGTCCGTCAAGAATACCTTAAGGCCTATCACTGTCCATACTTAATTATTATTACATGTATATCATCTCCATCTCATTTTTATAACTTTAGCTTTGTTTTGGAAGAAGTTTCACCATTTTGTTTCTATGATCAATAACATAATTCGCACAGAATTTCTTATCTTGTGTGTTAAACCTCACACTACAAGGATCAAGTTATGAATTCTTGGCGTCTATGGGAAAAATAACTGTCCTGCCACATATGCCTTATGATTTTTATATAGTTGCCTGTAGTCAAGGGTAGGGCTGTAACGATTCTGTTTGATTCATCGAAAATCGAATCTGACACCTTAGTTTCGATTTTCGATAACCATTGTCACTATTTATTTGAATGCCTATTTAAATTATTTCCACTCAGTGAGAACGTAATTTGGAGCAATTCAAGCAGTTTCGAGCACTGAAATAAGGCGAAACGTGATAGCTGATGCCGAACTAATTATCCAATGAGAATTGTTGTTAAAGTACTGTCGGAAATAGAAAAAAACTGTATTTTCTCATTTATCTCTACAATTTATGTAGTTGATATGTGCAAGTGTGAAATATATGTTAAACTAAGTTCGGCCTAACTACAGTCTCAGTGGTGGGGACATACGAAACGTAGAAAAAGGGCTTTACTGGGGAGAGATTAGTGCAGAAATGAGCAATGCGGTTTTTTTCTAAGTCCAAAACGATTTATTTGGAACAGACCATGGCTTTATGCCAATTAGTGTGCGATGATATTGTATTACAAAGGACACTTTTTAAATGCCCATTTTGAAATTAGACGTAGCTTCATTATAAACGATAGCTGGCATAAAAAATAATGACTTTCATGCTGAAACTATTAAGGATGTAGCTATCATGGAGCCTCACTATCACTATAAAAAGAAACAGAGAGAAGGGTTCGTCTCAAAAGCAAAACCTGGACGGGTATCGGAGACGATTGTTGGGGTCGGGCTGGGGGGTAGAGATATCAGCTAAGATAAGATAATCCTTTAGGGCAATTATACTGGGGAAGTACACGGCATGTCATAACAATTTACAAATAATATCCAGTCCTGTCGATCTTCGCGATTGGGTGGTCATGCCACCTATATAGTTTGAGACATGTAATACGATGCGTTTCTATGGTTATCAGGTATCATACTCTTTTACATATCTCAACATAAACTTTATGAAAGAAAGACACGTAAGATGTTAATCAATAGATGAGACATAGTCAGCACACATGAAAAAGCACAAAATATCTTTGATATGACCCCTTGTGCCTGTAAGGCAGCGCATGCATTTCATGCTAGGTGAGTCGACGGTCCGTCATCATACCTGGCTGAGCGACCTAATTGCCATCTATAGTCTGATCTATTGTTTTCAGCAACTATTTGTATTTTTTCTAAGTTTTGCCCGATTTTACGAGTAAACATGCTTTTCCGGATATCCTATTACGCATCCCACTGAATGCCAAGTTAGGCCAAAGTGGCTTATTTCGACATATGCTATTTGCAGTTGTGTAAATTTTAGGGATACAGAGTAACAGCCTAAAAACAGTTTTTTTCTATTTCCGACAGTACTTTAGTAGACATCGCCAAGTTGACAATGGATTAAAAAAGCTGACTCTGAGAGTTAAATGAAATCTGATGTTTTCACTTGTACGAAGAATCAAATCGAATCTGAAATGATTGAATCAAGGGTTTAATATCGAAAATCGAATTGAATCGACGTCTGGGTGAATCGTTGCAGCCCTAGTCAAGGGCTAAGTGAGAGCAGAATCCTTTTGAAAGGAAAATCACCTGTAGTGTACAAATTTATTTAGATCTCAGAGGCTGATTTTCAGGCCACAAGTCTACAGCAAACTCCGGTTCAAATTCCCAAGTTGACAATAATATGTCCCAATTCATGCTGATACTGTCAGCTGATGGTGTGAGCAAATCATCATGATGTTATTGACAGCTGTTACGTGCGAGCTGTGAATGTGGATGAGGCTTTAATCATGTCACTGCTGAGTGACCTGCATTATTGCGTTGAAAGCAATAACACATCACAGAATTAAAGAAGGTATTTTTTTTTAAATCCCAAATAAAAAAAAATATCCCAATTTTTACAATCCATCCAAACATCCCCGCTTGTCTGTCTTGAAGTGTGTTTGATAAACAATGTGGGATGACTGGTTTGTGATCATGTTGATAACACTTACCTTGTAACATGTCATATTTGTGATTACACTTTCTCAGTAACACTTACCTTGTAACATGTCATATTTGTGATTACACTTTCTCAGTAACACTTACCTTGTAACATGTCATATTTGTGATTACACTTTCTCAGTAACACTTACCTTGTAACATGTCATATTTGTGATTACACTTTCTCAGTAACACTTACCTTGTAACATGTCATATTTGTGATTACACTTTCTCAGTAACACTTACCTTGTTGATAACTTGAGGCAATCAAGCCTAAAAACAAAAGAATAAAAAAAACAGTGAGTTAATGAGGTAATGTATTCCTATCACCAGGATATATTTAGGCAGATTAAGTCACCAGTAACTAGGGGTGTCGCGATGCATCGATACATTTTTACTGACGATACGATACGCGATACATGCTTGCGTGTATCGATTCCTATTTTAAAACTTTATCGATTCAAATTTTTATGCTATATCCATCTCTTTCAAAGTCTTGATAGTAAAATTATACGAGATCGCTCTGATAAATAGATGTAGCTAGCTTTACTTAAAAAATAGGTTTGAAACTAACAGCTTTTGTGATTGGCTAGACTATTTTGATGGACCAATCAGCGAGCGCGTACGTTGCCGGTAAGGTAATGCTATGAAAAGGCGCGAAAATTATGTATCGCGATACGTATCGTATTGTGACCTTAAAATCGTGATACGTATCGTATCGTGAGATTGGTGTATCGTGACACCCCTACCAGTAACACAACATTATCATTGCTGAAATCATTGACACATTATCTAATCCAATCATCACAAATACTAAAGCATAGATAAGGAAAAGCATTCCATTCCCTTACCTGCAAGTGTTGCTGACAACAGCAGCATAGCTGACCCCATCGTGTTGTGGGCCAATAATTTCAGTCTGGAACGAGGTAGGAAAAACATAATATAGCAGAGTTGTTCAAATACAACTGAAGATAATCATATCTATGCATTTTAATATATTTTGTCAATAGGATGAAAATTTGTTTACTAATCAATAAGCATTAACTTTGGGTGTGAACAATAGTTTAGGTATAACATGGTATCACAAATTTAACTTGACAAACCCCAACCTGTCACAATAGCGGGCTAATGAGTGACATTTTAAAACACCATGCTTTTTTTCCAATTAGGTGTTTGTGTAAAAAGATCATAATATTCACTGTATTTTTTTCATTATGATTGTACTTATTCTGTAATGACTGTTTGAACATGTAAGCTCCCTGACCCTTGTACAGTATGCATGCACCATGTACATACCTACTGTTTTCTGTTTACAGAGTTTCAACACACTGACATCATCATTTCTAATTGAACATTCATATCTTTGTCAAACTTAACTATTATTGTCAAACACATATTTATGCAAAGAATAATGCAAATAAGAATTTGTCAGAGAGCATACAATATATCATGATCTGTTGGGTACTTGTATCATTCCTCAGCAAATATGATAACAATTATTACTTACATATTTCTTAAATTACCATTTATTGCAACATAAAAAGAGAAAATGAGCTGTCATAAGTTAACCGAATGTGACGATTTTCACTATTTTTGTCAACAAGAGACTAGATCCAGTAAATGAAACTGAACAGACAACCAATCTTCCTATTTTCAGCAATCAAGCACTGACAAGCAGACGATAATCACTTTACTATGGGCTGGGTAGGATTACCATATATATTTGTTTATAACTATTATCAACATTTTATAAATTATTAATAACGTATCAATGTGTAAAACAGGAGGCCCCACTCAAAATTTATAATCACACGTGAAATACTTGAATCAATATGATACAAATCTTTAAGTATTTTCATACATTGTTACACATCTCAGTATGACCACAAAAGTTTGATATATTCCTACCTGTTTCCTCGTAAGTTGTTATTTCACGAAATAAGCTTTATCCATAGACAGTATTTACGATATGGTTCCACCGCTCCCTTGCACACCCTTAGCCACCCCGACTTTCAGGTAAGCATTCATGCCAGTCTACAAGCGACCGGTTTGGTGAGTACAAAAATAGCCACAATGTTGACAATCAATTCTTGGCTCCTCCCACTGTGAACATTTTCGCAGGTGCGGAAATGTAAATTGCGGAGTGGAAAAGGATACGACACATGTCAATGTATAAAATATTGGTTGATTATATATTGCCGTAAAACATGCAACGAGCATGTATTGACTTTATTCCTTCATACTAAAAACAGGAATCTACGACCATGGGAAAAGACATATACAATCACATCAAAATATAGATATATAAAATTTCCAGAACATAGATATATAGCCTAACACCTAACAGTATCCATTCGTTCCGTTACATATGTGTTAGCTAATGTACATGTAAATAATATCGAGTATATTATTGTTGTAACTGCGAACACACTTATTCATCATATTGCTCCAGTTCTGAATATATCCAACGTGTGTGGACGCCAAAGTGCAATTCATATCATTAACCCCTCAACTTCTTTCTTTTGTAGCACATGCTATATTTGGGATTACACTCAGTAATGTGCAGATTCTAGTACTTTTGTTGGGTTTTAGTGTCCCATCCGGGATTCGAACCAACACCCTCGGAGTGCGGCACCTAATCGCCAGCACACAAAGTCAGCCGTCTAACCGACTCAGTCACCGCGGCTTCCACAAGTGTTACATTTGACCATTTTCTAAATGGCATTTGTATTCATCTCTTTTGTTTTTCTTCAATTTTTTCTGGGGATGATTTGTTAATCGTTTCAGACTGAAGGTCTTTGAAAGAATGAGGTTAAATGTGTTGATAGTATGCCTTCTAGAATGTAATGACGGACAGTGGGGGAAGTTTCTTTATTACCATCTGTCTCACAGTCCTGAACCACATTATTTCCCCACATAATACTTTCACCAGCCAGTTCTTAATTAGTAGGCACAGAATGATGCAAGAAGTTCAGGGCTTAACACTTGGTGCAATGTAAATGGCTTTATAGGCAGTCTTCAATCTTCAATAGGCAAATCTTACTCTCGCATCTGTCTTCAAATCACTTCTTTACGAACGTCTTTTCATGAATTATATCTAACAAAGATACGTTTATTTTCATTAGTTTTTTCTGAATCCGATCTCACTGGGCTCATTTTCTGTTTATTTTCTCTAAATTAATTGTTTCTATCACAATCATATATTTTCAGAGACTAAGCGTGTTTATATTTTTCCAATATAAAAAAAACACGAAAAAAATCCGAATAATGAAATTATCTCTTTCTTGGTAAAAAAAAAATTAGACTACTCTAGGGGAATTTAAAAGAAAGAAAGATAATAGTTACGCAGAACGGATTATTTTGCCACGGTTTATTGGTTATGACTAGTGCATGACAACAATGTAACTGTGGTCTCTATGGCTTGGGGCGCACTCTATTATATGGTCTCTGGGCGCACCAACAAGGCATCTGATTAACGCCATCGTTGCACGAGAACGGTGAAAAGGGGCTTGTATGTTGCCTGAGGCGAAGTTCATTCTAAAGGTATTTTAGAATTGTTTTAAAGACAGAATTAGGACAGTAAGTAAGTAAAACCTTCACATATAAATACGACGGAATAGCGAGGAGCATCACCTCTCAGTATCACAATGATATCCACCCTCATCCCGATATCCACCACCACATATAACATTACATCACAAAACGTGTTATATCTGAACAAACAACATTAAGCCAGTAAGCTACAATAATAGCACAAATTTGGATACAATCTTGAAATGCATTAATTTCAATGTAATTCAGTTAAGAATAACATATTTGTGAGATATTTGGGAACGTGTGGATGTATTCATTACGCCATCTTACGTAAAATCATATTCCGTTTCAGATTCCACGAGTCCCGTTATTCCATTCATAGAGTAAAACTGGCGGCGAATGCAAATTGGCAGCCGGCTCAGAGAGAGTGGCAGAACCGGTTTTGCCTACCTGTGACTATGAATAGCAACAACAATAGTGATACATGCTGCACAACCAGGCTGAGAGGTTTTCGCGATTTTACCAGGGCGTGTGGATATAAGCAAGTGGGAACCGTGAGTACATGAACGTTTACCAGAATCTTAACCAATTTTATTTTTCAAAGAATGCTATATTGACTGTACGATTGTTTAAAATGTCCGTTATAATGTTAGATGTTAGGCCCAACGACATTGAATATGTACCGAAAGGTGTACAGTAATGATTGAATTGAAAACCAATATACTTTATTTCGAGTGTTCTGACAGTTCCAGAAATAAACAGAAATGAAATGGGCTTTCTTCAGGCATCATGTTTTAGCGTCCATCACATTTTATAAACAGTTTATGCGTAAGTGTTGAAGGTTGTTTCAAAATTGAAACATTCTTAAAATGTACATATATATAGCATCATAGAAACACAACTTATGAATATGATAGTTAGAAATATTTCCATCTTTCATAAGAGTTAGTGCCTAAATATTGGCCTAAATAATGTCTACAGTAATAGGCATTGTTACTGTACTACATTGTATTACATTGTCACTTGATTTTGTTGTGACTTATTTTTAGATGTGTCATTGATTCAGAATTTTAATATAATATGTCAATGCAGAAGTATCATGGTAAATTGAGATTAATAATATGATTAAATATGTTTTAGTGGTATATACAGACTTGAATATTATCTTCATGGTCCTGCAGTGTAATACTATGTATAAATACTAGCCTGATGGTTTAAATGTTTAAAATTGAATTTTTATTGTCAGTCTTATCCATGGTATTTTTTTTTAGAAATAAGAAATGTTAACGTTTCTGTGACAGTCATTTATTAATATCATACTGATAGTCATGTATTTGTATCACTACACAGGGTTTTACACTGACAAACAAAATTGGGGATCCATGGGATCCAAATTATCTATCTTAAAGGTCTATATATAGTCAGCCATACAGGCATAGAATCATGTATAGTAATGAAATGGAGTAGTGTACTATACAAGATATATTTTGATGACATCAGAGTCAGGAATCTGTCAATGATAATTTGGACAGGTGTCTTGGTTGATGGTTGAAAAGTCAGTCGCCCATAATTGCTCTTGATACATTGTAGGTGCAATGAATGTTATTGTGCATCCCAAGGGAAGCAGTAAATATTTTCCTGCAACCATTTACTACTATTGTGCTCACTGGACACATATTTGTGTGTTGTGCAAAGACCTGTGCCCCGTTTCACAAAGTTCTCATAGCGCTACGACTATCGTAAGTCAATGTTACACTATAAGAGGTAGGAATTCTACGAGGAAAGTTACGAGATCTTAGGCTTGCGAGAGCTTTGTGAAACGGGGCCCTGAATACAGAAGATATATTGATGTTGTAACATTGTTGATTTCAATATCAAGATGTACAATGATATGCCTATTATGTTGACATGGTTGGTAGCAATGTCAACCGTACAAAAAGAATGCTAGAGTCTAGGAAGGACTGGCATAACGAGACAACATAGAGCCATCATAATTAGTCAAATCTTAAGTACTGGTGAGACAAGGTTGAATAATTTTAATTCCATCAAGCCAACATGTGCCTTTCAGAACTCATTGGATGATAACTTGATCACATCTGAGGTAATAAGGTAGATGTGAGGTAATGAGGTTTGTGTTTTCACAATTGACAGCGAAACTTTAACTAACTCAAAGTTCTGAACTCACATTCCAGTTTGATACCGATCAGGTCCATTTCAATTTAGTACAACTGATTAGCATACCTGTTTTCATAGTGAATCTAAGTGATTATTGTCAGATTATAATCTAAAAATGAGTTTTGGACTTGTCTGTATTTGATTAGATATGATGATTAAACAGACTTGACATGACAAGGCTGTAGATGACAAAAGCAAGGTGTTAAAAATATCTTCATTGAAAAATAACAACAGCCCTTCATGTGCTTTATTGTAGAAAAACAAACATTTTTCTTATGAAGTGAGTGACAGATTTATCTTTAGTGTTGTATTGAACGGTATTCCGGTTATATCATAGCATGTCATGTGTTTGTGGGAAGAAAGCATGCAATTCTTAGATATTTGCCAATTTAATAATAATAATAATGAGAAGTCTTATAATGCGCTAATCTCCACGCAACAAAGCATGCTCACCGCACTAACACCCTTATTGTTACCCCGGATAACCCAAGCTGCCTGTTAGGCGCAACAAGGTTATAGTCACATGACTTTATCCAACCGGGTACCCATTTTCTGCTGGGTGAACAAAGGCAATTTTGAACAAACTCACTTGCCTAAGGTGAGACCGCATGTATCACAAGTGCTTTGTTGTGGGGGAGGACTGAAGTCCTAGAAACTCTCAGGAGTCAAGCTGTCAAACACGGTCACCCATCCAAGGACTGTCCGAGATTTGGTGAAATGCACATGCACAAGTATGGTGCCAATAAACCAGCAAACATACAATCAGGGGAAAATGTTTATCATAGCTTCCTAGTGTGCCTAAGGGTATTATGAGAAGATTCTTGTTAATGTAAATGTTAATACTTACTTCGAAAAAAGTTTTGAGCCATTTTATGTGACTCCATTATGCTCTAAAGTAGGAACAAATTTGAATTCAATATTATTACAAAATCGTTGATATTTCCTCATCTGTTCAAGAGATAAGATGCCATGAGAAAATGTCTAACATGGATTTTCTAGATAAATTGTTGTTTCTTATCTGATGAAAACAAAGAAAAATGATCATCTTGTTATTTACTCCCATGCCAGGGTCAAATATATTAAATACTCATTCGCACAATTTCTTTTTTTAATGGAAGCAGGATTAGCATGTTCAAATAGTTGTCACAATTAAGAACACATAAAATAATGGACTAAATTTTTGGGTTTACATATTGCAGTATATATATCTTTGTGTTATGGGCTTTCAGGTGCTTAAGATCATCCATTGTTGTCTCAATTATAACATGAACAATTGTAAAACACATCACTAACACAAGCCATCATCCAAGTATTTACAATGTCTGTGTAATGCTTC